TTACATCCTGATTGTGGCTCCCCACCCCCAGTCACATACAGGCTTGTTTTTTTAAATTCACCCAGATGATATTCCGAGAAACTAACAACACAGCTTGGAGTCATTTTGAAAATATTCTTTATGCATGGAAAATAGAAGCTGAAAGTGAGATGTCTCGGTGAAATGTGAGGTATTTATTCACACTTAATGGAATACATTACCTAATTCTAATACCTAATTTAATGGGAAATGCATAAGAAAAAAAAAAAAATCCCATTGTGGAATCAATAATGACTGGCCTAAAACAGAAAAAGATTAGAGAAATCTACTGTGAGGAAAAAAAGAGAGGCCAAGTGGATAAAGGGGGAGTAGCCATCCAGTGTCATAAAAGATCTGGGTATCAGCCTCTGCAGCTGTAAGGACTACAGAGCATGACAACCTGACTGTTGTGATTTATCTGAGCCCTTGTGACTCATAAGTGAGTCACTACCCCTGCACCTTTTGGTGAAGTTTCTAGGCCTGGCAAAATAATTTCCTAAACAAAAACTGTAAAATCAACAAAATATCTGGTGGAGACGTGCAGATCAAATTCTTGATGCTTGAAATAATTTCTTCAATGCAGGCTGATATGTGTCACATATTGGGGGGAAAAAAAGCTTCCTCCAAATGTGTTAGATTGACGTGTTGCCTAGTTACATGTGTTGGAAGTCAATGGGGCATTGTGCTGAGACAGTTTTTTGTTTGTCTTGAATTGTCTCTTTTTCTGTTGTTGTTTATTAGTTTCAAATAAGCTTCTTTTGTAACAATAATAGATCATTTTTTTTCTTTTTGGAGGTATATAAAAAACAACATAGTAGTTTTATTTAATTTACTGAAGCATCTGAATTTAGCCATTGAACCAGGCGCCATCAACATTAATAGGCAAAGATCTTTTTTGGCTTGGAAAGGAGCAGAGTAATGTTCCTCCATAAGCCTGATCCATGTTAATTAAGATGGCAACTCATCAATAAAAAGAAGAGCTGCAATGTTTAGACTTTAACCTTAATTAAAGCTAGAAGTGAAAAGATAATTAAACTATGATTCTAACTAAGATTCTTATTTTATCTGTTAATATATGTTTATTGACTCTATCTCTAAATTATACGCTGGCATTTTAAAACAGGAGCACATGATCAGAACACTGTTACTCAGCAATTTAAAAGGGGACTTAGCAGTTTTAGCATTCTTTACTAATGAAGTAGGAGTTAACACCATGGTAAGATGGAAACAACTGTTTGAGTATTTGTGAAAGGAGTTTGCAGTGGCTTATGATTCTGGTAAGGTATTTTAAGAAGTATCTGATCTGAAATCAATCTTTCCATCGTACAATGAAGTAGACAATTCGAGGACATTCAAAACAACTGCATCCCTTCCACTGTGAGCCAGTCCAACCTGAAAACAGACTGAAAGATACTACAAGGGGTCTCCAGAATGGAATGGAACAAACTACTTGTTTGGTGAAGTGAACCTGTGTAACATTACAGCAGTAATGTGGATGTGTCTTGACTCTGGGAAGCTTTACAGACTTGACCAGCTCAGTACTTTAGAATCCATCATAATATAGTCCATATATCAAAATGACCTCGTTACATATGTGAGACAATTTTATTAACTATTCAAACCAGGGCAATTAAGGGGATTTGGACCCTAAAGCATGACAATAACTAAAAAGAAGCAGCTACAGCAATGACTCACCAAAGCGTAAAGACCTTGAAAGGCTTGAGAGTCAAAGCAAAGTGCCATACTTTTTCTCAGAAAATCTTTTTATTAATTGTTTAATTTCTTTATCAGAAAATCTCTCTCTCTCTCTATATATATATATATATATATATATATATATATATATATATATATATATATATATATATATATATATATATATATAAAAACAAACTTCTTTTAAGAAGTGATACATTGTACTGATCACATTAATGGTTGAAAAACTGTTTCAGTGATGTAATAAAATCTGCAAAAATCCTCCCTAGCATCATGACCGCTGACAGGTGAAGTGAGAAACACTTTTTGTTAATGGAGATGCATTAGATAGGGAAGGAGTAGCCTAGGAGCTGATGACTTAGGAACAGAAAAAAAGGCAACCATAAGGATTTAATGAGGTTTGGCAAGAGCTGAATTGTGACTGCTAGACAACTCGGTGAGCATTGCATGAAGTCAGAGTTTCCCCCAAACTATACCTTATGGAAGATGTTACCTGTCTGTAGTTACTCAAGGAAAGAACATTAGTAAACCAGCTACAAAGTGCAGAAAACAACATTCAAATAGTATACTTTGAATAATATGAAATCCTCTTTGTTAATTTACCATTAGAATTTTCTCTTATTCTCTGATTTTCCAGTCTTTTTTTAAACCTAAATAAGTAAGGAAAATTAAAAATTGGCTTATATATGTTCTAATTGATACCAATTATTTTCCCTTTTGTTATTTATTATTTATGTATTATTCAGTTGCTTTTATTCAAGGTCAGTTAAACCCAACACATTGTGAGTGAATGCAATAGTGTTTTGAACAATGGAATTTTATGTTGGGGTAAATTTCTATTCTATTCTATTTTAGTCTATTCTGTTATATCTCACCTTCCCTTTTCATATATTAAAGTTGAAATATGATTTATTATGAGCAGAAGTAGCAGTTTCCTCAGTTCTAGAAGCTCTAGAAAAAGACTGACTGAGTGAAGGAGTAGTGAATTGTCCCTGTTGTGATGTCTTGATAACGTCAGTGATGACAAGATCTGCGGAGGCTGCCGCTTCCTAACGGCGTGAGGGAGTATTCCTATCAGCAGCCATCTCGCCACCTATCAACGCCTGCTCTTTCTAGTCATTAAGCTGAAGAAACCACCACCACATATTTGTTTTATCAGGGAACGAATGCAGAGCTCTATGGGGCTGATCATTGCCAGTGCTGGTTAGATACATGTGCATGCAGAAATGCCAAGCTTCCTGAAATACAAGATTTCTGACGTTTATGCATGGACTACAACATGGCAGTTCATGCCTTATTTAATCAAAGTCAGCTGCTTCTGAGTTCCCTCTCAGTCATCATCAGCCACTCCCTCCCATTTCACTGTTTCTTCGTCTATCCATGCACAGAGATACATGGAAGACTAGGGTAGAATATAGTTATGTTAATGCATTTGTCAAAATGTCAATCAAGGCATTTGTGCATTTCATTTACACAAGAACATTCAGATTTAGTGCTTGTGAGTTTATGTCATTTGTTTTGGTGTTTGATTCTTACTTTATTGATTGTTTTATCTTGCCACTTTAGCAAAGCAACATGAGATATTCAATACCGACAATAGATCCATATCTTGAATAAAAGCACACAGGAGAGCACTTAGTTCAGAATAAGCATCGTCCTCTAGAGTAATGTTTTCCAGCATACATAAAAATAGACAACGCCAATGACACAGCTTTAGCAACTTTGAAAATAAAAGCACTATGCCTCAGGTGATTTTTAGGGAATTGTCTAGCAAACTATTATACTTAAAGCATAATAGCAAAGTGCATATTGATGCAGTCATAGTCTGTGCTTTCAAAAAAATATATGCTTTCTTGATGATATCTTAAAATGTGCACATGCTCACATACATGATATGTAGACCATTTAAATCCTATAACACATATTGTCTATGTTTTCATATGAACTGTCTGCACAAGATATACAGCCCCATCTGACATGCCTTTCTAACCCTCTGTCCCATTATCATGCATTATGCATGCGCCCATTTCTGAAGTCCCTCTAATGTAAGAGCTTCCCTTGAAATAGAACTGACATTGTTACAAAACATGTTCTCAAAAAAGCATTTGAATGCAGAGAATAACAGTGTATTCTTACTAACAGATATTTACCAGACTGTTTTTGCTTAGCAAATGTATTTCTGATTAGATTTTCCTGTTAAATTCACTCTACATGTATGAAATACCTCAAGTGATCCACAAAGGCAAAGTCATTTCTAAAAATAAGTCAAGAACTATAATGATGAGTCTGTGAACTTTACCATTACAATTATTGATCTTTATTTTAAATATAAGCTCTTCGCGACAAACTGATCACTCGCATCAACCAGTTTTGATTTGGATACATTTTCTCACACAAGCTTTCTTTGAATCATCTTCAAACTTCTTGATGCCATCTAATCCGGTTTACTTTCATTTTCTGAAACTGCTTCAGTTTTTTTGTTTCATTGTCCTACTGTAAAATCTGACTTTGTTACAGATACTTCACACCTAAGTTGTAGTAAATCTGCTTGTCCCATTTGCTGAAAGAAAGCCAAGCACCATTTTACTTGTACTGTCACCATATAGTTGATGGGTGATGTGCAATGCCTTATGTCCTTAAAATCTGTTGGGGCCAAAATATCTAACTGCTTTGATTTTAGTCTATCTACCTAAGAAGTTGTAGAAAAACAATTTTGACAGATTGCTAAGATTTTCTGCAGCAAATTTTATCAATCTTAAACAAGTTTTTCTTTTTTTCTTCTGCAGTGGAGTATTATGTGCTGAATTCACACACTGACCTTGGCTGCATAATGCATAACTCTTTCTTTTTTATTAAATACAATATACATTAGTCTTTCCATGACTTTATATGCATAGTTTTTGACTGTTTAAAAATCCTATGAATATATTCTTGACCCATATATGTCTGAAATTTTACAAGGAGCACCTGACCAGTATTACATCTTAAGTACTGGTCAGGTAAAGAGGCTTGTTATCAGTATCAGTATTGTTTTGAAAATGAGATTAAGGTCTTGAGTATGCTGTTTGCTTTTCTCATCATGATATGATCTTTGTTTAATAATTTGAATATATCAACCCTTTTTCAGAGCCATCAATTACAACAACCCAATTTATAAAAATGCAGTATTATTGATTAGTCAATTTAAACAATGTGTTTTGTAGTTAATGTGAAACAGATCTGAGATCTTTGATTTCTGAAAAACTGTCCTCATGTTTGTCTTGCAGAAGGAATGGCTTTGCCTGAACTGTCAGACCCAAAAAGCAATGTCAGGCCAGCTGGGAGATGTCGAACCACCTGTTTCCTCACCAAAGAAGCAAGAGCCTGCTCCACCCTCTGTCCCGTCTTCTACCCCTGTTCCTGGTGCTGTAGATAGCAAACCTGTAGCTGAACCTCTAGATCCAACCCCAAATGCTTCTGAGATCAAGGTAGCAACCGAATCCACACCCATTTCATCTGAACATATCCACACCCATTCCATCATTCCTATGGAGAAAGTTCTTCAGGAAACACCTGATTCAGAGGAATTAAAGCAGCCATTAGTTGACAAATCAGCATCTGATCAACATCTTTTAAAGTCAGACAGTTTATCTGAGATTAGCTCAGAAAGCCTGTGTGTTGAGAGCAAACAGCTTACTTCTGAGTATATAGCAGAGGAAGGTCCCCACTCTGACATGAACCAAAACACACCGGGTGCAACAGTCAGTGACATTTCAGAAAATCTCTCTGAACAAATCCACACCCATTCCATCATTTCTATGGAGAAAGTTCTTCAGGAAACACCTGATGCAGAGGAATTAAAGCAGTCATTAGTTGACAAATCAGCATCTGATCAACATCTTTTAAAGTCAGACACTTTATCTGAGATTAGCTCAGAAAGCCTGTGTGTTGAGAGCAAACAGCTTACTTCTGAGTATATTGCAGAGGAAGGTCCCCGATCTGACACGAACCAAAACACACCGGGAGCAACAGTCAGCGACATTTCAGAAGCTAAGGAACAACAAAGTAGCTCTGAGAAAGCAACAGGGAATCATCCTGGAACTGACACAGAGATTCCTAACGTTGAGCATCAAGCAGAGTGTTCACCTGTTGGTGAAATCTCAGCAGTTGAAAAGCAACAAGATAGCACAGACAATACGGCAGAGAGCTTTTTTTCAACTGTGGAAGTTGAGACACAAATTCCATTGACAAATGCAGTTTCAGACAACACAGCAGCCTCCATAAAGGTGGAAACTAGGTCAGATACTGAGATCACTCAAACTGAGGGTGCAGCTCTCCCAGAAAATCATCAAAAAGTTAATTCAACTCTTGAAAATCTGCCCGAAGTGACAGATGAGGCAAATGCTTCTATGATCCATGAATTTGTGTCACAGGATACATGTCCTGTAAATACAGATTCTACAGCTGCAGATATAAACAAGGAATTATGTGAATCTTCAACTGACAAACCCCAAAACATGACAGCAGAGCTCACTTTACCAGACACAGCATTAGAGATCATCAAAATTGATGTCGTTGAAAGATTTGGGGCAGAGACCATTGCACCACTTGACACAAATCATGTTACTAAACATAATATGGCAGCAACAGACTTGATAGCCTCTGTAAACTCTGCTGCCAAAGTTGATTCTCCAACAACTGACAACACAGGGCAAGATGTACAAGCAACACCAGCAAACAGTTCAGAAATTGACATTTCTTTGGTCTTGGAAGATAAAAATGATTTTGCAGCTTCAAAGGAAGTTTCTCAGGTAACCGAAACAAAAAGTGCGCTTATAGAAGAAGATGAAAAGGCAGAGCCACAAAGTATGGCAGATACTCCTCCCCCTGTTGTAGATCTATTAAAGAAAAAAAACAATGCTCCAGAGAAAGCAAATAATAACAACTCTGATGGAGCAAATGATTCAGTTAAAATCATAAATAACAGTGAAGTAGCTGTGTTTAACACATCGGAAAAAGATGCTTCATTAGGAGTTGGCTCAACACATTTTGACACAGGAGCAGCAGAGATGATAAAAGATGAAGGGGATTTCTTAAAAAAAGAGAACATTGAGGAGAAACTAGAGAACACAGATGATCAAAAGGTTCTGGTTAAACATGGTAACAACGATGCAAGTTTAATTATGGAAGTCAGCAACAATCAAGCAGATACTATGGAGGGAAAAGAAGTAGGAAAGGAAAGCACAGCAGTATCTCTCCCAGAGGAAATGCCTCAAGAAGACAGTCAGATAAATAAAGACGTAAAGCAAGAAACAAAGTCTGAGCCTGTTGAGGGGAGCGCTGTTAAGACACTGCCATTGTTAGAGAAACCAGAGAAGAAAGAAAACTCTTTGGTCGAAGCACAAGTTGCACCACAGAAAAGAAATGAAAGCTTAGACGATACCACATTAAAGGTAGATGAACAGTCTGACAAAGCAGAGCTTATTTCTGATCCACCATCTGTTGAATCAAGGCAACAAGAAACAGATGTTGTAGAGATACCCTCTGAAAGTGTACTACCTGTGTCATCCTCATGTGATATCATAGAAACAAAGTCAAGAAATAAAACCTGTGAGGAGGAAAGCTTGGAGGATAAGGTAGATGTTGGTTTGAGTACTGCACAAACTCAAAATGAGCCTGAGAAAGTTGTTGAGCCATCAGTCAAGGAGAAGGAGGCAGAAACTGACAAGAAAGAGGATGAGTCACAGCCTGTCGTTGGCAGCCTGCAGGAAGCTATTTCAGTATCTGAAGCAAGTGCAGTATGTGGCAAAGATTGCAATGCAGTGTTTGGTGTGGAAGTGAGCTCCACTTTAGAGAAACATGTAGCTTCAGAAGATTTGCCTTCTTTTACACCTTCAATCCCACTAGCAGAATCTGAAATCCAATCTGTAGTTGGTACGCATGATGCAGGTTTAAAGGAAGAATGCATGGAAGAGAAAATGGAAGCAGAGGCTAATCCTGTGGAAAAGCATGGTGATGACGAAGCACTTTTTGAGGTGACCATAGTATATAGGAATAATACCGGTAGCAGTAGACTCTAGACTAGACCCCACTTATTAATTGTAGCTATATTTCTTAAATCTAAATTAAACATTTTAGCTGTAAAAGCAAGTACATCACAATGGATTAATTATTTCTTATTATATAGTACAACACTTAGTTAAATGCATTGATAAAATATGTTGGTACTTATTCTTTGTTGCATACAAAATGTTTTTGGACTAATATTTATTTTTCAACGAACATATTTATACTTTGCTATTACTATATTTGTCCATATGGTAAAATGCAAGTAAAACAAATACTGTCTAAGATTTTTTGTCCTAATATTTGCAAGGAGTAACAAGTTGTTTTTTTTTCTTCTTTTTTAATCACCAGATTAAAACAGTGGAGACCTTGAAAGAGCTTGAAATAAAAGAAGAGGAGGCTAAAGAAAGCAGCCCTATGAGCCCCTCAGACCTAGCAAGACTAGAAAGCTCTGTACTTCCAATTCTGAAGGCCCCAGTGGGCACAGAGGAGGAGGAGAAACAGACCGACACGCTAAAGATCAGACGCAAACTAGAGGTTCTTCCTATCTCATCTGATTCTCCAAGCTCTGAAGAGGACAAAGAACTCTCAGAGAAGATCGTCAAAGGTACTGCAAAGAAAAAGCTTCTTGTGGCGATGGATGTCAAGGCAGACTCCATGGATGAAAGCAGCGAAAGTTTCGGAAAGGAAAGCCCAATGTCTGGAGATGAGGAGGATTTTATCAGAAAACAGATAATAGAAATTAGTGAAAATGAGGATGCCTCTCCATCGGATGAAGAAAGCTTAGTCAGACAAAAGATCAGAGAGGAGGACAAGAAACAAAAGGAAATCAACAAAGCTGAGAGTGTAGAGAAAAGCATGTCAGGAAAAGCAAGACGATTAACTAAGAAAACTGCTATTAGTCCTGAATATGAGGATGTTAAGGAAATCACGTCCACATTAGATAAATCTGAAGAGAATGGACAAGAGCAACAAGAGGAATTTCAGAACAATGCTTCAGTTTGCAAATTAAAAACATTTGAGCTGAATGTAACCAGTGGCCCCATATGTATACCAGGTGAAGATGGAGAGCCTGAAATAGAAAGTCTGACAGACTCCCCTGATGATCGGTCCAGGGGTGAGGGGTCATCTAGTCTACATGCATCTAGCTTCACTCCTGGAACATCACCAACATCTCTTTCATCTCTGGATGAGGACAGTGATAGCAGCAGCCCAAGTCATGTCCGTACAGGTGAAGGTAAACAACACAGAAAAGCCAAGCACAGACAGACTGGGCAAATGCTGCCAACTATTGAAGACTCATCAGAGGAGGAAGAGTTACGGGAGGAGGAAGAACTGCTTAGGGAGCAAGAAAAACAAAAGGGTTCAGGAAAAAGGTCCAAAAAAGACAAAGATGAGATTCGAGCCCAAAGAAGGCGAGAGCATACAAAGACACCACCGAGCAATCTTTCTCCAATTGAAGATGCCTCACCAACTGAAGAGCAGAGACAGGAAGCTGAAATGGAAGAGATCAGACGGTCTTCCTGCTCTGATTTTTCTCCCAGCATGGAATCAGATCCTGAAGGGTTTGAGATCCATGCTTCAAAGATTGCAGCAGTCCAAAAAACATATCAGCTGCCTATATCAGTATCTCTTCACTCTCCAACTGATGATCAAAACACTGATAAAATGCAGAAGAAAGCTCTCAAATCTGCTGATGAAGCATATGAAGAAATCATGCTAAGGGCTAAATCTCCAACAGTTGATAAAGGTGAAATTCAGTCAGAGAAGGAATCTATTTATGGAGGCAGGCTTATTGAAGACTATGTCTACCCATCTCTTCTGGACAATTCTTTTGATCGAGAAGAGCAAGAGAAAATTTCTGTTCCTACTGAACCCAAAAAACTGAGATCTCCTGATGAAGTTTATGAGGACATGATTAAAAAAAGAAAGGAATTCATGCAACTAGAGCAAGAATATGAAAACATAAAGCCAAAAACTGAAACCTCTAATCCAAAAATTGTGCTGCAACCTGCTGAAAATACTATCCCCCAAAGTGGTACAATAACATTAGGAAAAGATGGGAAGCCATTGTTAGATGCTGAAACTCTCTATGAAGAGCTAATGAAAAGAGTTCTAACACCAGGTACAAGCCCAACTCAGCCTGAGCCAAATGAGGAAACTACTTCATCAAAAAAGATCCTTCACCCTATTCCAGACTTAAAGGTAACACAGTGCTCCTCTGGAGAGTTGTCCTCTGATGATGAAAGTACAGTTAAAAAGGAACAGGAGGTAACAGAAAAATCAGATATGACATCAGCTAAGGACCCTGAGCCTGTTAAAGAGGTATCTGAGGCTTCTCTGTTGATTACATCAGATGAGCAACTTGTTATTGAAACCTCATCCTCTCAGGCTGAACTTGTTGACCTTTCTGCTCCCTTTCAAAGATCATCAATCCCTGTGATTTCTAATGTGTCTCCCCTACCAACTGTCCCCCAGTACACACCTGGTATATCTAGTGTGGTGTCAACAGCTCCTCCTGTTCCCCCTAAACCAAATATTTTGCGCAGAGCTAATTCTCAGGAAAAGGGAGAAGAACCTGTTTCAACACCCCAGCCTCCTCCTACTCCACCAAAGCCTACAGTTTTTCCCAGGAAAGCTCCAGTTCCACTCCCACCACAGGCTTCAGTATGTATCAACAAATCAGAGTCAGTGGCTATAACTTCACCCCAAGGATCACCTGTAAGACAAGCTGTCACTCCAACATACAAACCTCATATTCCACCCCCTGTTCCTCCAAAGCCAGCCATATCTGTTGTGGACAGCCACAGACCAGGACATGGTGTCAAACCACCAATTGCACCTAAGCCTGGTTCACAACCATCTTCACCTGCTCATGCCCCTCATCCAACAAGACCTACTGTTCTTCCCACTTGCGGTAATGACTCAATCCTTAATCTGAGTCCCTCTACAGAGAACAAGACATTTCAACCTTCGTCAAAGTCTCCTTCTTCCCCAAGATATGCCAGCAATCTTCGTGACACGTATGTAGTCATCACACTGCCATCCCAGCCTAGTTCTCCAGTTGAGGGTGTCACAACTCAAGCCCCCTCTGGCCCTGGACCAGCATCTCCTTCACAGCAAACTCATGAGGAGAGTTATTATCAACCACACCCTCAAAACTCGTATTCACAGATACATCAACCGACTCCTCCCCCTCAGACCACCAGGGTGCCTCTGGCATACACACGTGTCACAGAGTCTATTGAAAAACAAGAGATTTGTAGCCCAGAAAAACATGTTTCTAGTTCTTGTCACATAATCGAAGCAATATCTGCCTCAGCAAAGCCATCTGTTATGCCTAACCTCATATCTCAAGTTGTTACAACTGAAGTTCAAAGAACCACTGTTTCTGTTGTCCATGAAAGAACACCACCTCCGGTGCCAGCTCCACGGGCAACTGGCATTCCACTGTCGATGGAGAAACCTAAGCCTCAGATACTAGCACAGACTGAAACAACCTCTTTACCATCTGAGGTGGTAGATCTTAGAACTGTAAAGGTCGATTCAGAAATGAATATGACTGGTGTTGATCTGTCCACTGGCCCTGATTCAAGACGCCAGTCTTTTGTGAGTGATGTCAGTCGTCACACCAGTGCAGTTCAGTCACCTGTGGTCAACCTCAGCACTGAATCATCCACTGTTTCTATAGTGACTGACAGTATTACTATTGTGACCTGTTCCGCAACAATCCAGCAATGTGAAAATGTAGAGTTTCCTCAAGCAACCTCAGTGCCCCTTCAACTAACCAAAAACAAGGTATATGAACCTGTATCTCAAATTATCTATCGACCAGTTGAGTCTCAACCATCTGCTCTTACTACTACAGAAATTCCAATTAACCTCTCAGTGGGATCAAATGCCGGTACAGGAGGTTTCCAAGCTACTCCAATCACTGTTGGACCTTCTTCTATTGCAACCTGTGTTGCCAATGGATTAACTACAGGAAGAACCACAGTGGCAGGAGCAGTTGATCTTAGTACTACAAAACCTTTTAATACTGTGGTGTCAGTTGATGTGACTTCTGCGGATGTAGTTACAACTGTAATCACAGATGATGGAAAACCGGTTGATCTGACAGCAGGAAAGAGAGCCGTGTGCTGTGATGTTGTGTACAAGCTACCGTTTGCAGGAAGTTGTGCCACTCAGCAGCCTACCACGCCTCTGCCTGAAGATCGTTTTGGATATCGTGATGACCATTATCAATTTGACAGAACACCTTATGGCATGAGAGGGTTTAGTGGGATTAAACCCTCGATGTCAGACACCAATCTTGCAGAAGCTGGGCTTTTTATGTACAAGAGTAAGAACAGTTATAATTTCAGTGTCACAACAGAGGGAGCAGTAGATCTCACATCAGCAAAGATATCAGATGCAGGTCAGTGGAGTGACATTGCAGACCTGTCACTTAAATGTCACTTTGGACTGCCTCCACTTATTCATGGCTAATGTGGCTTTTTGACATTTTTCCTTTTTTAATTTGCATGTACTTTGATGTCTTCTTCATTCGAAATCAGACTTTTGCATGTTTCCTTACTTGTTTTGCTTGTTTGAACTTTTGCTTTGACATTCTTTTTTTTGTTATCTGCTCAATGCATGGCTTGATTCAGAAAAAAATGCTCTGAAATTATGAACTAAAAATATGTTTTGACTTTTGACAGGTGAAGCAGTTGATTACTCCAAGAAAGGAAGCTATGCAGGAATGATAATCCCTCCATATTCCAATTCAAGTGCCACAAGCTCTGTTTGTTCACTTTATGGCACCACTAGTGTTTTAAGGTCATCGAATGGAGTGGTCTATTCCTCTGTTGCAGCACCAATTCCATCAACATATGCAATTACTACCCAGCCAGGATCCATATTTAGTACAACATACAATACCTTTTCAGGCATGCACACGAGTGACACCATGCCCTCTTTGTCCAATCTCCAGAATTTACCACTCACCAGATCTCAAAGTTTTCTCTCAACTATTTCCACAACAGAAGAACAAGGAGATGCTCCTCTTAATCTGGAGATCTCTAAAGGAGGTATTACTCCTGCCAATGGTAGGCCTGCAATGACATCTTTATCCCTTGACACATATACAGATGCATCTTTGGAGGCTATAGCTGCTTCACTAGAAGCACTGTCTTCTCCAATGGTTCCTGGAGATGGCCAGTACCAGGCAGAGCGAGAGAGGCTAGAAATGGAAAAGCTAAAACAGCAACGCTTGGCTGAGGAATTAGAATGGGAGCGGCAGGAGATTCAGAGATTCCGTGAACAAGAACAGTTCCTGGTACAGAAAGAATTAGAAGAGTTACAGGCCATGAAGCAGCAGATTCTGACTCAACAAGAGGAGGAAAGGCAAGCACATCTTATGATGCAAAAAGAAACTTATGCCCAGCAACAGCAGCAACTTGAGCAAATACAAAGACTTCAAGAACAGTTGCGTTTACAGCTAGAGGAGCAAAAGCTCCGTCAGATGTATCCAGGTGCTGACATCCCAGGACATGGTGTGCAGGAGGCCATTGTTTTAGGACCAGATGGCACAGTACTTTCTCGAAAAATTACTGATAGCGGATGTCAGACTGATGAGGAGGACGAAGCATTAAGCAAGGCTTACACATCAGGGAGAAAAAAGAAGAGTGTTAAAAAGAGTGTTGATAGTTGTGTGCAGACTGATGATGAGGATCAAGAGGAATGGGAGGCCCAGAAAAGCCGACAAAGTCGCCCCCGTACTTCCAGAGGTGATAGGGGTGGGCAGTCAGAGATGTCTCTTCAAGCCCACACTGAAATTTCTATACAAACTGACACAGATGGGAATATTAGAATGGACACAAGAATGGAGCTGTCAGACTCAGAAAGGACCTCACCAAAGAAACGCCCCACTCCCTTAGAGATAGCTCAGTCTGCAAACCTCAAACCTGAATTTTCTTCCCTTCAAGCTCACCCCAAATCTCCCAAAGTACTTTATTCTCCTGTATCTCCATGTATATCACCTAGCAAATCCCTTGAGTTTGTGTCTTATGATAAGTCCCTAGGTGATACAAGCCCACAAAAGCTAAGAGAAAGTATAGACCCATTAAAATCATCTCCAGCAAGTCCTCGAGGAGCCAAAACCATACAGCGATCCATGTCTGACCCAAAACCTATGAGTCCAACAGGAGAAGAAAGAGCAACATCTGGCACCCAGTTTGGTGAAGGCCATCAGGTGAGTTCTACCCATTATTTTAACTTTGTAACAAATGTTTCAAATTTTTGAAAAATGAATACACGTCAGGATGACCTTCTAGGTTTATAGGTTTCCATTTGAATTGCAATGTGAACATTAGAATAGATTATTTTTAGATAAGTTTTTCTCTACTGGAAAACCTGTATTGATAAAATATAAAAGCTAGTTTTCCCCAGCTCTTCAATACAGAGCTGCTTATACATTTATTAACTGTTTAGGGAAATATGATGAACATGCAGAAATGTTACCTCTTACATTTTAAGTGAGAACCTCTTTCCATTTTTTTTTTCTTTATGGGAGCGTGAGGGATTTGCACAAACCAGCCAGAAAACCACTGAACTTTTTCAAAAAAAGTCTTATTTTATTCCCAAAATGTTCAAAAAAATAATAAACTTGGCCCAAAAACAGAGGTCAACAGAATTCAATTCAGGCTTTAACATAAAGAACTCAAGCACAAACTGACCTAACAAACAGGACATAAGGGAACCTTAAATAGTGGCTGATTAGACCACTGTTGACACACAAGGGGGATAACTGACTAACAAAGTAATAAACAAATAAACTTAACTAAACAAATAAATACTGGCCAGACACTAAATACCTTTTAAATTTAACTAATTAACAAAATTACCCAAACTAAGAATATTTAAACAAATGATAAACAAATTTCCCTTCCCATTACAAATGGTTTGATCCGCTGATTACCCTGCAACCACCAATTGAGGAAAGCTAGAGCTCATTGCAGCCCTCCACCAGCTGATCCCAAGGAAACTGACAACTTAAAGAAGAAAGAAATTAATCAATTGCATCATAACAAAAAAAAAACTGACAAATAAATGTGTGCACTGCAAAAAGCTAACTTAAAGTCAGGCTAATGAAAATATATGAAATGTGCAACTGATTTTGAAAATCAAAATGTAAAAGTTACCACACAGCTTCAGAGTGTGACAGCAGGCTGTCACAGGGAGTGAAAACAAAAACATGGTGATATAAAGAGAATATATTTGCATGCACCATAAAGCCTACAGGCCAAAATAAAAGCATTGACTAAATAAACACTAACCCATATTTCTTATTATTTGTGAAGAATATTGATACAATTGTTTCCTAATTAAAAGAAATATTCACATTATATGTTATTGGTCATTTTTTATAGGGGAAAGGATCCAGTGTTACACCCACGGGTACTCAAAAGAAGGTGAAAAGGACTCTTCCCAACCCTCCGTCTGAAGAAGATTCAACAACAAGTGGACAGACAGCATATACCACCAACTCTGCCCGTCGAAGAATGTGCCGCAATTCTAACATGGCACGTGCAAAGATCCTACAAGACATTGATCGGGAGCTGGATCTGGTCGAACGAGAGTCTTCTAAGCTTCGCAAAAGACAGGCAGAACTAGATGAAGAAGAGAAAGAAATTGATGCTAAGCTTAGGTATTTGGAGATGGGAATTAATCGGAGAAAAGATGCTCTTTTAAAGGAAAGAGAGAAAAGGGAAAGGGCCTACTTGCAGAGTGTTGCAGAGGATAGAGATTACATGTCTGACAGTGAGGTTAGTAACATTCGAGAGACTAGAAGTGTTAGAGAAAGTGGTGAAGATGAAGACATTGAGGATCACGGTCTGGAGCGTCCCAGGACTGCTCCTCACTCAGAACTTGATGACTTTGTTCCTCCACAAACGAAGCATGACTATGGAAAATATTCTCTGTACCAATATCCTCAAAGTCAATACCAGCACTCTATCTATCAGACCCCTCAATCCTACCAGTCTCACTCTCTCTACTCCTCTGTTCCTTCACTTACTACTGCCCAGCAGCAGAGTTACCAGCAGATGCTTTTGTTGCAGCAGAAAGCTGCCAGACAAGCTGCCCTTCTATCAGAGCTTGATGCAACTAAATATGATGTTATTAGTCGTCAGCCTGATCCCACGCCATCAGCTTATCTTGGCGTTAAGTACGATAAATATGGTAACCATTTAGATCTTAGAGCCCTGGAAGTAGGAAGTATAGCAGGTAGCCCAATGTCAGCTGTTTCTGATTCATACTACACAGAGGTAGAACACCACACACCTCAAAGTTACATGCTGTTGGAAGATGCTGCAGAGCTTGCAAAGACCTCCACAGGTCTTTCTTCCTCTTATAGCCTTGCTGAGAGGGAGCTGGCAAAGGCAGAAAAGCTTTTACGTAGAAGTGCTGCAGATCTTGGGTCTACTGATTATCTAGGCTCCACTTCCAGACTGCATACTTTTGGAAAGACACCCGATGAAGAGGATACAATGGAGGAACCCTATGAATTAAAGCTTCTGAAGCAGCAGCTCAAGCAGGAGTTTAGAAGAAGTACAGGTGGAACAGAAAACTTAGAACAACTGACTGGGCTCTCCCAACACTACTACACTCCAAGCTCTGGTGTTTCTAGTTACTCCCAAAGACATTATCCAAAGTCAGAAAAATACAGCATCAGTCGTCTTACTCTTGAGAAACAGGCAGCAAAACAACTACCAGCATCAGTGTTGTACCAGAAACACAAAACCCCACTGATAGATCCAAAACTCTCTTCCAAATATGCCTCTATTACAGACAGCAGGGGTTTGGAAACAGATTATAACTATCTGGGATCTACCAGTGCATCTCCAAGATCCAGTAGGCTTATGCAGGATGAGATTACATTTGGCCTTCGTAAGAATATTGCAGAGCAACAAAAGTATCTTGGGTCTACCTTGGGAGCCAATTTAGCTGGCTCCCTAAATTTGGGCCAGAGCTTGGGCTTGGACTCTGCTTATCCTAGTGGTAGTCGATCGAGACCCTCATCCAGACCTACATCCTGCTATGGCCTGGATTTGTCAATCAAAAGAGACCTCTCAAGTTCTTCATTGAGGCTTAAAGGAGATGGAGAATCATCAGTAGATAGTCTGAGTTATCAAACCCCCTCTGGTCGCACCAAACCCACTAGCCTTCCAATTGTGCAAAGTGGCCGTGGTCGAATACCTATTGTGGCACAGAACTCAGAGGAGGAGAGTCCATTGAGTCCTGTTGGGCAACCAATGGGCATGGCTCGTGCATCAGCTGGGCCTCTTCCACCTATCTCAGCTGATTCAAGGGACCAGTTTGGTTCATGCATGTCCCTACAAGATTCCCAGCTGCAGCAACATATGAGAGAAGAGCCGACAAGGGGTAGGAGTTATGTACTGCTGGATGATCTTCAAGGCACAATGTCTGATAGTGAAGGTAAAAGACAAGCTTGTAAGAATGCATCCCTTTTCATTTTCAGTGTGTTGTGAATACGTTTATTGATATAATTTGCATTGCATGCTAGCATGTATAACACAGGTATTTTTGTTTTTAATTAATATTTTAAATTTTGCATGCTTTCTTTTTATTTTACTTTTGTTGTCTCTTCTATTCTTTGTTTAACATTTACTTTGTTGTATTTGTTCTTTTAGTTATATATCAGCAATCCTTGTTGAAATTTTAAGATTTCAGGTGCATGTATTTCTTTTTTTATTGACTTTTCTTTTATGTATACTACACAACATTTCTCTTTATATCTTTTCTTTGTTTGCATGAAAATCTTGTTTGGCTCCAAGTTCTATCAAGGAAAGAGCTCCCATCAAATATAATGTTATGTTTTTATTTTTGTATTTTTGTAGTTAAACTTACCATATAAGACCATTTTTAGTATCAAGGGATTCCTCTGATTTGCAAAAATATATCACAAGAAAAACTATTTCAGTAGAATGTTTGAAATGCATTACATTTGATGGAAACATTTACTTCGGCATAATAAATTCAAATCTAAAATTTGCATGTCTTATTTTCAATATTATTGTTTTAATGTAGACTGGGTGTTTAATTGTTTTGAAATGAGCATACAGAATGTCATTTAGTAATATAGTTTCGGCTCTGAAGTAATATTTGGTTGAGATTATGAATTTTTAAGTCATTTTTTCTTTAAAACTTCATATGCATTTAATAAAAAAAGTTAAGTATCTAAATTTTTACAAAGTTTTATAATTCAAATAAAACTTTAGAATATACAATAACCATATTAATTCTAGCCCAGATTTTGGTCAAAGGTGACTTTTTGATTGTGGTAGCCCGATCTTGTGCTAAATACTTTGGCCCGATCACCTAAAAGTTTCTGTGTTTAAAAACATACAGACTTCAAAGTGTGAGCAAGACTGATCTACTAAACAAATGCACACAGGGTTTATATTTCTAAAATGAGCATAACATCGGTCTTAATTAGGATTAAGGTATACATTGTGACTGATGATAATTAGTACAGTAAGGGAAAATACGTTTTGTGTTATATTTTGTCATTGGACAGTTAATGATTCATTTTTTTATTTTTTTTTAAATCTGCAGGCAAAGTATTCATTTTCATATTTTCCGCATACAGTAGCTATCATACCAGCCTTCAGCAAGCTGTACTGTTTAAAATTCTGTCTGCCTTTGGGAAATGCAACCAGTTCTACTCTGCTATCCCAAACTCTGCATTTAAATAAGGGGTTCCATATTGTATTTGCAATTATTAAATTGGATATTTAAAACTCTCCCCTTAACAGCTTGTGAATTTTATTGTTTGCTCAAACTACTGCTCATGATATGAGATCTTTGTAGATCAAGCCCTTGCTGCCTCAAATGTTATTTTAGAAAAACAAGGAATTATACATTCAAGTTATTTACAAAAGCCACTGGCATAAACCTAAACTACCTATATTTTATCCAATTCGGGTTAAATTAATATCCCAGCTGTTTTTTTCTGCAACTTAATATATGCATTGTGGTACAAGTTTGCTTTGCAATTGATGGATTCCTTCTTTTGTCCTATGCCCCATCTCATGCTGAAAAATGGTTCAAATGCATCTTGGCAGAAAAGCAAACTTGTGAGCATTTGATGAATTCTACAATATCTTTCAGCAATCGATGCACATTATTAGTTTGATCTCTACCAAAAAACATTGTAGTTATCTAGAAGAAAGCATTTTATCATTAATTAAAACTTGCATACAAGCAATGACTTGTGTGGTTTAGCCAATGGATAAATCCAAATGGCTATGCTATTTCTCTCACCAATTTAAAAATGTTATTCTGGTTAAATTAATTTGCCCTCTTTTAATTGTTGTCTTTCTGACAGGGAAACACCCATCCCAGAAGTTTTCCCAGAAAACTGCTCCACTTAATGTTTTGACTTAAACATAAGCCCTTATTATCAAATAATATTTAAGATAAAAGCAGTTTTGAAGCTCATGACAACTTCTCTGTGAGAAATGTTTTCATTTTGTTTGGTAAAAATAGTAAAATGTCATGATATTATAATGTAAATGAATTTGCCTTGATTCCAGCTCTTTGTGATTCCCTGATGGCTTTGAACAGAGACGGTGCAGCTAATGGTAGGGTATTAGTTTAGTTCTAATGTTGTCCATGAGCTAACATATCATCATAACATATCACAAGCACAATGCACCACACCATGAACTTATGAACAAATGTTGGGGAAAATGAATAACATTTTTATTATATTTTCAGTTTGGAACATAAATCTGAAAATGTAATAGAAAATGTTTTAAAACTTCAATTGGAAATAATTTATATTGATGGTCATTATTCACTTTAACATTATCCAACATTTACATTCATAGTGGGTCCATTTCTCCTGAAGTATTTGATTATATACACATCAGTAACCCTGTTTAATTTATCACCAAGCTGCATTACTTTTCTACTTGGCTACCAATCAATATTTATTTTGCTATTTAAATATGTCCTAAAACTATTAGGTATTTTTTTTATATTTTATAATTAGTTTTTCACTCAGCATCACAAAATCAAATGCAAATAAATCAAATCCATATTATACAGTAAGATGCAAATGTATTAACTCCAAATGATTAAATTAGTGCTCATTTATGTGCCTGAAGCTTATCATCTCAGACGAGAAGAGACAGACTGGTTTGACAAACCAAGAGATGGACGGCCAGAGAACGGACAGGAAAAGAGACAGGTAAAAAAAAACACCAGGTTGGTTGTGGTTGAAAACTTACTTGATTAAAAAGGTCATATTTATGGGTCATTCCCACAAAGTAGTACTTTTTAAGCATTTATTTCTATTTATTTTGCATATTAAAACCCCAGATGTATCTTCACAAAGTGGAATATTACACAAGATAGGATCTTTTTAATACAGTAATGAAAAGTACAAAAATATAATCCTACCAAATAAAGAGATAAAACATTATTTACTGAACCTTACTAGTGGAGTGTCTTAATTACTCAATTATTCAATTACTTGTCTGCATTGTCAGCTACGATGTTTGCTTAGCAATATTTCTATCAATATCTACAGAAAATCTGTATTAGAATTGGTCTTATGTAATACTCTTCAAAGAAATACAATTTAAAATGTTATTAGCTGCAAGCTGCATGCAGTAAAATGAATTGCTTTGAGTGAGCGAGTGAGTGAGTGAGTGAGTGAGTGAGTGAGTGAGTGAGTGAGTGAGTGAGTGAGTGAGTGAGTGAGTGAGTGAGTGAGTGAGTGAGTGAGTGAGTGAGTGAGTGAGTGAGTGAGTGAGTGAGTGGCTGGCTGGCTGGCTGGCTGGCTGGCTGGCTGGGTGGCTGGCTGGCTGGCTGGCTGGCTGGCTGGCTGGCTGGGTGGGTTGGGTGGGTTGGGTTGGCCAGCCAATCCCAAACCGTGCTTAAGCACTATCCCACCACTTAGTGAAAAGGTCCAGTGGAACATTCTGCCCTTAAATAGCAAGTCTGCATCATTTGCAGGCTGGCTGGAATTCAGGAGTAGTTGTAACAGCGGCCTGGTGGCGGAGGAAACACGTTCCGCCAAATGTATTTTCCGCTGGTTTTGAAAATGTCCAGTTAGTTTGTAAAAAAAACATAATTAATTCCAAAAGGGAAGGTGCCCTTTGAAATAGATTTATTTTACCACGTACATTTGTTTTAAGAAATAGGCAAATGTTTTATATTATGTTAATCTGCGCTACAGAGCTACAGCTACACACTGAGTGTCACTGTGTTACTATAGCAACAACTGCTTTCATTTTCTGTTGGAAGAAAGAAGCTGTCCCATTCTTGTTTATACCCCCCAATCTTCAATCAAGGCACCTTCCGCAGCAGAGAGTGGGACTTCACTGGGAGTGAAATTTGATAGCGAAGGGTTAGTGGTTAGGGACCGGTTTGGGATTGAGCCAGAGAGTGAGTGCCGAATTCTGCCATGTTTGTTCAATAAAAGAGATAACTTACATGTCTTAAGAGTGCAAAAGATCTGTCCCATCTTTTCCTTCTGTATGTACAGCAGGGAAAAGGGCCATACTATCCATTCCCTCACCTCAGGGTCAAACTGCAGAGGGATCTCAAAGACCGCAGTGTCACAGGTAAAGTAAACAAAAAATATTGCAGTCTAATTATATCCATGCCACACAGATATTATATTTAATTTTGCCCCATCGCTTCGATCAATCACTGTTGTTTTGGATATGCCGTATTCTTCATAACAGTAAAGTAAGGATGGTATTTTCAAAGTAGATATAGGCCCCAGAAAATTTCTAAAGTTACAGAGCTGGACTGATAGATGTACTTTATTTAACTCAATACTATTTATTTAAAACTCCAATAAAGGAACCTGTCACATCCCTTCAAAAAGCTCCTTTAGGCTCAAAGGTGGCAGACATGTATGGCCATTAGTTATCGCCTTGCTTAAAAATAGCCTCCCACACTGTTCGTGATCTTACAGAAATAAAAACCCAAACAGGAAAGGATTCTTGTTAACATTTTGCTTGTTATGATTTTTTTCTTCTCTCTTCAGCTACTATATAAAGTTGATGGGAATAGGAAATTATTAAGGTTCTGTAGTAAAAGTTTTTTTATGGGATAAGGGATGACTGATAATGCTTGTTTATATAAAGAACAGTTTCACAAATAAAGAAATCAGCCGGGGAATGTACAGTTATGTAACCAATAGAGTGAAGAAGGTTCTACAAAGGACAGAAGTTCTCACTTTTACTTTGGAATATAATGGTCAACAGCTCTAGCAAATGGAAGCAGGACGTTTTGTTTTACCCTAAGCTCCTTTCTTTTCAATTTACTCTTCAACAGTTGGTATACACTGTTCAGTTCTCTCAAACATAGCCATCATTTTTCTTTCTTTCTGGTAAATAATATATTACAGGAACCACCGAAGTGAAGACAAACAGAGCTGCATTGAGTTACAGTTTACAAGTTATAATGCTTTTCCATGTCAAAAAAATATGTAATATTCTTAAAGCATGCTTTTGACATTAACAGAACATGATGATTTAAAACTTCACGAAGGTTTTGTAAGAACTAATGTTTTCTTGTTAGAAGATAATAATCATTAATCAATAGTCAATATCAGATCTCAGACTACATTTACTGACAAGTTTATTAAGTGCAATATTTTGTTTATTTTACTAGCTTCTATTTACATTAAATTAATTACATCTATTCGGAACTGAAAATGTAATTTAATTTAACGTTTAACCTGTAACCAATCCCTTTTTTGTGTGGCACATGGTTATTTTTTTAAATAATTTCTGAAATTGATTTATCTATTATAATTTTTATTTGTTAATTGTCTGAAATAAAATCCTCTCAATTATAAAATATTACATGGTCAGAAAGATCCTCAATTGCACACCTACATGTCCTGCTCAACCGGGTGTTAATTTGAATGTACTGTATTAGCAAATGTTTCACTGTACTCTGTGTGACAAAATTAGCACCTTAAATGCAATCAGTTGTTACTATGGAGCCTCTTCTTGGAGAATGTTATCTATTTTATCCATCAGTGTAAAGTGCTGTTATATAGCAATAAAATACTGTATCCCCATGGTTCAATTTAAGCATCAATTAGAACTATATGGTTTGTATACAACAGAAGGCACATTTTCTTAAATAGTTTATCTGCACTCCTGTTACACTATTATACGTTTTTCATTTGGATGTACATTTTAATACCAACAATTATCTTTTTAAAACCTAAAGCTTTTGTGGCAGACTTGACTAATAGTCAGAACTGTTTTCAATCTCATTTACCAGCTCTCTAAAGAAAAATAATCCCACAGCATAATGTTGCCCCTACCATGTTTCTCTTTGGGTGTTGTTTTCTTTTTCTGATATAAAATACATTTTTACCCCACATGTAGCTGGATAATAATGCATTGTTTTACATTATTTGGAAATTTTAGTCCAGATATATAGTGAATATAATGATATATATATTTTTGTAGAAGTTTTCTTTATTGCTAGAACTTGCCAAAAACGTTATATCCTTTAGGTAGTAAATCCAGTGTGATACTGTTGATTCTTTTTAACCTTTGAAAGTAATAGTTTTATCTAAAAGATGCAAATAAGCAAATACAAGGAAAATCCTGCAATAAATTTTCATGCTATAGATTGTATTGTAAGCACATTGAAAACACCACACATATATTTGTAATGTTGGTCTATCTTTTTAATGCTAAACAGGAAATGGTTTGGGTATCCGTGTGGTTGGAGGGAAGGAAGTTCCAGGTGGGAAGGGAGACATTGGTGCCTATGTTGCCAAAGTCCTACCTGGTGGAGCTGCAGAACAAACAGGAAAAATTCTTGAAGGTCAGTCACCTGTTGTATTTATTTTTCTTTTAGCGCAGTTTTAAACAACAGGCTACATAAAGTCAAATCCATAGTGGTTCAGCAAATTCACAATAAAGGCGGAATGTTAAATTAAAAGTAATTACTTTGTTTTAAACATAGATTTTTTTAAGAGAATTAGCGTCCTATCTAAACCATTCCTTTATCTAAACGTGAACGAAGCAAACTCTTCAAAAACGATGAGACTTTTTTTTTTTTTTATGATACAGTAAATCTGTTTGACAATGTTGTGGTTTATAAGCAAAAAGATTTACAGCTTCAGATAAAAATACGATCATGCGAAAGGGGGTTGCAGCTGACTAGATATCTCCCCTCTGGTAGAGATGACAGTCTGCCAGTACAAATCAGGCAGAGCAACCCCGAGATACGCCTTATCCCTGCTTTAGAACGCCGGATGTCTCCTAAGTTTTGCCGTGCTCGGTCAAGACAAGCCCTGAGTTATGGCTCGTGTCTCAGAGTGTCTCAGTCAAACCCAGTAATTTTCTCACTAACTGTGCCAGTGAAAATATGTTGAAGGAATAAGTAAATACATCCCTCATTTGCGAAGGAATCATTTTCCAACTGAAAGACCCAATGAAAATTCATTTTCAGTTTGAGGTTTAGTTAAGGTTTCACGGCTCTACAAAGTTTTGTACGGCTATTGGAAGTGAGACATGCTGAAGGCATCACTGGTCCTCCACCATACTAAACAAAGACAATAAGTCAATATCCCAAGATGCCCACTGAATTCGTTCTCTGTAACTGGTTTGTAACAACCAGAGAAAAATTTAATATAACCTATCAAACTATCCAAACCTTCTGCATTTGAAGTAATGCTGAAGGTTTATAGGAAATAGTGTTGTGTTTTTTTTTTGTTTTGTTTTTTATAATGTTTTTAATTTAGTCCTTCCTTTCTAATATCTAATATCGCTATGGACCACATATTCTTTATCACTGTTATAGGTAGCATGTCTAAATTCAGCTTTGCTCAATTTTACCTGGTGTGCATCCTGTGAAAGGGGGTCTCTTTGATCCATAGGTCCTAAATGATATCAAACTATGCTACTACCGGTATATCAAATTTAAAAGTTGATTTTTTTTTTTTATTCTTTCCAACCTTCATCGGATCTCTTTGGATTTAAAACTGGACTTTTTAAGTCCAGCCTTAAAAAGTAACAGAGATTCATTACTTTTTTTAGAGGTAGAGTAATCTTTTAAAGGGGTCATAGAATGATTCTACAGGGTACTTGGTGCTGGTCCTTAAGGTCTCTGAATAGGGTGTGTAACATTGGTTGGGCTGAAAATGGCATATTTGCTGTTCTATGAGCCCTAATGCAAGCCTGGTTAAAAGCCCTAAAATGAAACGACAGGTTTTCTTCCTTTTATGGTATTACTGTTTATAGTCACCACTACTTTCCCACTTTAAAGGTACACTATGCAACCGGTGTTGATTTTCCAGCGAGACTCCCCCCAGAGGGCGAAAGTAAAAGTGCACTGTCGTAAATATGCACAGCTGTTCTCCTGGTTTCTCCGTCAAGCCAGGCGCGGTTGTTTTGAGCTTAGCAGACAGGCGAACGCAACAAATGACTAATGCTGCGTTCACACCGCAGCTGGCGCGACAGAAGCAGCGAGTTTACATGCAAAGTCAATGGTTGACGCGCGTCAAGGCGCAGCAAAGGAGCAGCAGGCCCAGCGCGTCTGAGCAGCTGAAGCAGGGAGAGAGACACAGCGCTGATGATCAGAGGCTATGATCTCTCTCCTCTTAAACAGTTTATTGACGCCTAAATTAACTTAAAATGCAGAAATCTGCCGGCAGAATATGCAGTTTGGATTATTTAGATGAAAAACACCTACCAGCTGCCGCGGTGAACCGCGAGGACGTGACCTGGCCAGAGGCTGCTGATGAAGGGGTTCCTTCTGTCGGCGCACCGCTGGTATGTGGGGGTCTGAGCGGCTCCGACAGAAAAAATATTGAAGGCAGGATAATAATCTGAATGAACTGACGGCACTGATTACGTTTTCAGGTGTATTTTCTCATTTAAACACATATTAAAACTACTTTATTCCAAATGATCACAGCAAATATAGCTGCAAGGCAGAGAAAGGATAGTGAAGCTCCGCCCAACGCGCGTCAGACACACTTTTGCACCGCACAGCCAGAGCGTCAGAACTAACTGGTTCAAGCAGCAAAAATGAAGCAGCAGACACGATTTTGCTGCTTTTGCTGCGTGAACGTAGCATAACTGCACAAGGATCGCCACTGTGCTAGCAACGAGAATGCTTTTAACTGGGGGGTGTAGCAGTTCTCGGCCGTAAAGCAAGACTGACTCTCACGAGACTTCTGAGCCTGTGGGTGCGGGTCGGTGCTCCTGCAATTGCAAGTGCAGTATTTCCCCCACAGACCACCAGGGCGGCCGAGAATACCTTTGTTCAACCTGAAATGACTCATTTAATCATCCAAAACGTTATGGAACACATTAATTAACTGAAAAATGTTGCATAGTGTGCCTTTAATACACTGATATATGACCTGTGATTTCACCTCCATTGACCTCTTACTGACACACATTGATGGATGTATAGCTGTTCTCTCTATTAAAATGGAATACATTTGGCCAGGTGTTATTGATTTCAAATGGCAGTAAAACATTTAAACCACCTCCCTTTCACTCTCACCCGTAGTTACGTTACGATTCTTTGTACTGGTCAAACTGGCCTGAGTCATTTTAAAGGTGCCACGCCAGTAAGATGTGGGCAGTAAGAGAAGTACTGCAGCCTGGTTTAGACCTGTGCATTGTGTTCAACCCATGCTCTGTTAAATGAAGATTCTGTTTTTAATGTTTTTATGTAATACCATTATTCAGATAGATTGTTTTTGTATGTTTCTATGAACTTTACTTAATTTTTGCATTTCTGCAACCTAAAGAAAGACTGAGAGTTCAAAGCTGACAATACATTTTACATACATTCCCTTTGCATCCCTTTTTATTTTAGTTCCCCAATTGATATGGAACTTACATTTTCAACAACAATTAAATGTTGAGTTTTCAGGTTATTTTTTTGAAGACGTAGATTTGTAAATCGTTTTGTGGCATTGTTTGGAATTAAAACACCTGATCCTGAAAGTGACTAAACAAGAGAGATGATATGGATTTCAGAAGAGACAGGAAAACGCCATATCCTACTACCATCATGGGAGGAGAAGAGGAGGTTGTGGAGGAGAATAAATACCTCAGTGTTCACCTGGTCAACAAACCCAATTGGAGGCGCAGCTGTGAAGCCATCTAAAGAAGCTCATCGAGCTGATACAGCAGGCCAGCTCTGTTCTAGCAACCCCTCTTGAACCGAAAGAGCTGATTTCACAACCTGAATAACATTATGAACAACAGAGAATATCTTTTCAGAAGATCTTTAATCAACAACAGTGTCTTGTATCAAAGGCTTCCCAAGATCTGCTGTTAGACAGATCCTTCACATCTATAACATAACACCTACACATAAAAACTGTTTGAAAAAATCAACTAAAAAACTATGAGTTACTAGGATTTATTTTCCCTTTAAGATGATTACAGTATTTTTAATTCTAGAACCTAGTTTTAGAAACAGCAACATCTTTGGCTCTTATACATTTAATAAAATGCTAGAAAAAAAGTTAAATGATGAAAAATAAAATGTGACATTGCATAATGCTGACCAAGCCTTGCTGTACCAGGCACTACTGCAAATGGTAGTTACTAGATCACTAAAAGGAACAAAATATAAATGATGAAAGCAGTTAGTTGTGTCTCATGATTTTCTTTAGCTAAACTGATGATAAAATGTGAAATCTTTAACAAGTGATCATTTGAGACTACAGTGTAGCCTTCCTGTCACTCACACTCATGCAGCACGTGAGTATCGGCGCAAACCCAAGGCCCTCTTGATGAGCTGCTTCAATCCCTGTAAGTCATGTCCATGTAAGTGTGCAGGGTTGGAGATTGCTGTGACTTTGTGGTGCTGATTGGATTGCTGCCTCTGTCATTGCACAAAGCAATGTGTTAAGACTGCTTTTATTATATCTCCTTTACACCTTTAATGATTATATTTTACAAAAACACCGTCAGAGATCCTATATGAGAAAAAAAACAAACTCTGCAATTGACTTTTCTCCATAAAGAAAACATGCTTTGTTTTTTTAAGTTGTGGTTTGAAGTGAAATGTCTTAATTTTCCCCATGTAGAAATATAAAAAGTAAACAAAGTATTTTGGATGGTGTGTCCATGTCCTAATAATTCATAGGAATGCAAGTCTTGGAGTGGAACGGTGTTTCTCTGATGGGGAAAACATACGAGGAAGTTCAAGGATTGGTTGGACAGCTATGTAATGAGGCGGAAGTGTGTGTTAGACTGTAAGTAGAACTTTCTCTCTTTTCACCGACTGGGAATGTTTTTATATCATCTTTTTACTGTTGTTGAAACCATATTTCTCTTCTTGTTCAAGAAAGATACATACCTTTTTTTTCTCTCTTTCTCTCTCTCTCTCTCTTTTTTTTTTTTTTTTTTTAGTGATCTTAATATGCTGTCTGAGCCTGAGGAATCCCAGCACCTTGATTTACAGGAGCACAGCAAAGGTGATGCATAGTGATTTCTTTTTTCCTCTCCTTGTGTTTTCCACCTCTCTATAGTCTCCCTGACTAAGTTATATAGTTGTAGCCTCTTTTATTGGTTGTCATTCAGAATTACAAAGGGCTAGATCGATGGTCAGTATTTGATGTTCTGTTTGGTTTGTCTATTTATATTATTTTCTGACTCTCTGTGTGGCTGTCTTTGAAGGGGAAAAACCTCCCAGGTCTCCAGGCGTAGATCCCAAACAGCTAGCAGCCGAGCTGCAGAAAGTGTCACAGCAGCAGGGTCCCATGTCTGCATCCTCTTCCAGCCTGGCAGCTCCAACCTCAGCGACATCTAGCCCCGGTCAGCCTGGATCCCCTTCTGTCAGCAAGAAACGCCACACCAGCAAGGCAAGTTAATTTGAAGGGATTTTAGAGAAATACATTAAATCCGGTGCATATACAGAAACACTAAGTCTATGAGCGCTCGAGTCATTGGTCAAGTTTCTTTTTTGGACACACAATCTTGGCAGATAAAACGGATACTAATCTCAATCCAAACAATAAGACCTTTTTAACACTTTTTGGAATGACTATAACTATATCACTAAGAATCTCTACCAGCGTACTAGTCTCAACCCTTTTGCTGAAGCTCTGGCTGCATGTTTAGGTTATTTGATCTCCTTGAAGTTCAGTCTGTATCCAAGTCTGTTGGCTATTACTTTTTTTAAATATACACCATATCCCATTACCTTTCAATCAGCTCTGAATAGCTTTCCTGTCAGTGTGGAAAAATATTATCCCCACAGCTTGATGCTGCCACCCTATTTCTGTATAAATGGGGGAGCTTTGCATAATGCTTTATACTGGAGGTCTTCAACAGGGGGTCCACAACCCCTAGGGGGTCCATGGAGGTACTGCATCGGGGTCACGAAGGTTTTGCTTGATTAGACTTTTTTTATATTCTGCCTGCAATTTTTTCCACTAATTGAAAAGTCTTTAAATCCACATTAACATGAATTCAACACACTGTAGTAAACAGATAAACGGGGGCAGAAGATGTCTTTCAGTCATCGATGCACACATTCAGCGACACACAGGAGCTCTTTCAAGCTGGGCACCGTTTCATTCACAACACCTGTCCCATCAACCAGGAATCAGAATCGGAAATACTTTAATAATCCCAGGGTGAAATTACTTAATCTGTAATAGAGTAACTATAGGACCAGTTCGATATAACACAATTTCATACAATATATATAATTAGGGGTCCTCGCTCCATCTTGCCATCAGTTTGGGGTCCTTGGCTTGGAAAACGTTGAGGACCCCTGCTTTATACAATATCCACAATTAAACTGCTTCATAACTTCAGAGCTGTCTGATTAATTTTTAGGTGTCCATGATGCTTTTTTTCTATAATCCTTTTAAGAAACTGCTGAGATCTTCACAGAGCAGCTGGATTTATGCAGAGATTAAATTGTCTGATTAGAAATAAGAACCTGCAGGTATTTTGTTGCTGAAAAAAAAATATCTTCAAGCAAAGGAGACTGAAAACAACATCATACTGAATCTTTACATTTTATTTCTAAAACTCCCATATTGTGGTCTGCCGCAAGAATATCCTAAAGGATATTACGCTTGTGGTTATAATGTGACAAAATATGGAAAATGTCCAAGAGGAAGACATGTTTGCATGATTGAAAGATCCTGTATAGTGTTTGCATAATGTCAAGAAAAGAGTAAAGTAAACAGACATAAATATGAAATTAGACCCTAACATGAAATGATATACCAGTTGTGCCTCAAGCTGTGCAACAAACACATCACAGCACTGTACATGATGTAGCATAGGCCCACCCACCATTGAACTCCCAACCTACACAGACTAATGCAGCACATTCTTAGGGTCCTGTTGTCTTTCTTTATAGACTACAGAGGGATCCAAAGCGCACTCTCATCCCATCTCTGGAGAGATACAGGTCTGTGAAATAAAACACTTCTATTGATTAAATACTTCTCCCACAAAAAGTGTTTCTGAAAGAATTTAAACTCAGGAAACATAAATGTAACTGAGACTATTTATGGGATATCAACTTTTGTTTTAACTATTTATTTGTTTTTACAGCTTCAGATTCACTATGATAAGCAGCTGGGCAACTTGATAGTTCATGTCCTGCAAGCCAGAAACCTCGCACCACGGGATAACAACGGCTACTCGGATCCATTTGTAAAAGTGTATCTACTACCAGGGAGAGGGTGAGTCAGGGGGGTGGAAACATCAAGCACATCATAACTGCTTCAGCGAGGAAGAACATCTGAGGACACTGATGGTATAAATATTAGAACGACAAAAAGGATGTCGAATGTGGTGATTTAAAAGACCCTGCTTTTTATTCCGATTCAGAGCAGGAGTTAAATAACGTTTTAGGCTGGCTGATATTTTCTTGTCTGTGCTGCTCAGACAGCTACTTTGTTTGAAACAAAACATAATTTTCATTCATTTTGAAATCGATTTAAAATTGATTTTGGCTTACCATTACTTCTTTGGATGTGCAGCACATGCTCTTTCTTTGATATCAACTCCACATCACTCTGAAACATTGAGTCCATCAGATTTTATGGTAAACAGGTTCCCTTCAATTCCCTTTTACATTGATCAGCTTCCAATCAATGCTAAACACCATTAACACTATGTAAATACTGTGAGGCTAAAAATGTACATGTGTTCAAGCTGTTGATAGATGTCACGCTGCAGGTATAAATGCAGACTAACTCAATAGTGCTCATATTTGCCTGCAATATGATCCACACACCCTCAGTAAGTCCAGGGCTGCCCTCTCACTGTGATAGCAATGTAATGCAATTTAGTCTTTTACCTTCTCTTATCTCTGAGAAAAAACTCCTTTAGAATCCATTGAAAATGTATGATGATGGTAATAATGTGCTGCTCTTGGCATTTTGGCCAAGACTCTTTAAGATCTTTAGCTTTTAATGTGTGAAGATGCAGAAACTGCTGTGTAATTGTAGGAAGGAAGGTTGTGTAAAGACTTTAAAATTGTCAGGACAGGTTTCAACTACTGTTATACTGAGAGAGGGTTTGAGGACATAAACCCTTGTGCACATTCTCATGTATGTGCTTTCGGGCTATACATGAACTTTCACAGCTAATGGCACCGACTGCAATCCCCACTCAGACTTTGCAGTTTCATCACAGATCTCCTGACAACCAAAGTGAGGTTGTTGAGAACAATCACTTGAGGCACAGCAAGAGGTAAAATAAGAAAACATTTATTTTAATTTGCTGAAAGTTCATAATAGACATGTTTTCTTTCAGTTGCTGATCTACAGCAGTCCAAAATATCTGAATTTCTTAAAAAATAATAATAATAATAATAATAACATGGGCAAAATACATGTGGAGGTCTGCAGCTTACTAGCAGGTTCTGGGTCACTTTTTCTATCCTGTATGCTGCGTTTTGGGCTAGATTTTTTGTTTTTTAAGTCCTCAAACAGGTTTTTTTTTTTAAATGCTGCAACTTGCAACCTTCCATAACTAAATCTAAACAAAGATTTTGCACATTTACCCTTTGATAAGAGATTCAAGTCTAAGGGCTCAGCAAAGAATAACTGATTTTCAAATCAGTGAAACCTTTTCAGTATTGCCAACAGGTGCTTAAGTCCACCTCTCACAAGTCTTTGCTTTATCACAAATCACAAAGTAAAGCCAGATCTTTTATGAACCCCCATTCCCTGAAGCCCTCACAGTCCACTGAGACACTCTGATCGTCCTCCCTCCCTCTGACTATTGTTTCTGTATGTTGTTTTCTACATTTAATGCATGCTGGACCCCTCAGTCAGGTCATGGTTGTCCAGAATGCCAGGTATGTGACTTGCCCACTCTAGTTGTGTATTCGTAAAACAAACTGCTTGTCAGTTTGGCAGCTGGCCTAGTAGGTTGATTAGCTCAGTGTCCTAGTAACTCCTTTCATTCTGATGTTTTTTTTTTTTCATTATTGTTTTGTTATATTAACATTACTAATATCCTTAAGTTTTGGTGATGAAAATAAATTCCCATCCTTAACTTAGTTCATCTTACCAAATAGCTCAAAATACTTATATTCTCTCCTGATAGACGTTTTGTTGTCCTTGTTGACCATTGAAATTTGAACTTCCCTAACAATCAGCCCCAACTCCTTCAGTTTATCCTTGTATAGCATTTAAATTCCCTCTATAAATCCCCATTAGTCTCTCTAGTGTCATACCGCACCTACTGCACCCAGCTATACACCTGTGACTTTGCATAGAGTGGATTGTTCTTGTCTTTTCCCAAACTAACTAAAATCTCATACCCAACAATCCTAAATCAAACCCTTTACTCTGCAAAAAACATCCATGTGATCAGTCATTTATTTAGTTACTGTTTTCTTCTTTATGTTTGATATTTGTTTTAAAGTCATATTTTTAACCTATTTTGAAAACTTCCAGGCTTTGCTCATTTCTAAATAACCCCAATAAGTTTTGCTGACATTTTCCTAAATGCAGTAAAGCTTCAAATATTTGAGACTAAATGACTTGAACCACAAAATGGACTTTTTTGCAGCACACCCTGACATCAGTCCTTTCCTTCCATGCACGTAGGTCTTAACATTATTAAACCATCAAAAACACTTTTCATCTCTTTCATTACCTTCCTTCTAGTATCACATAGTGTCCCTCTTTAACCCAACAACTTTCCCCTGAGCCAGTGTGCTGGTTCGCCTAACTGTAAGTTATCCTGAGTCATAACAACATGTATATTTTGTGATGTCTTCCTACAGTGCTGAAAACAAGAGAAAAACCAAACATGCAGGCAAGAGCCTCAATCCTGAGTGGAACCAGACAGTCATCTATAAAAACATCCATCTGGAGCAGGTATTCAACATCCTCAGTCTTTTGCAATTTTTTTAGGCTTGGGTCAAGCGATGTGTCATTATTCAATCCTGGCAGATCACTGCTATAAAAAATTAGCATTTTATACCGTTACACCAGGCATCCCCGAAGTCGGTCCTCAAGGGCCGCTGTCTTGCAGGTTTTAGAGCAGAGGTCACGGATTAGTGGACCGCAGTGTGGATCCGGACCCACCTGCTGGCTAAACCAGACCCAACCTGATTTAAAACATTTATAAACGCATGTTGACCGACAACAGTGTCTAACTTCTCTTGCGCCGCTTCTCCTGTTAAATGGTAAAGCCCTCCTGAGCGTCCAGACCAGGCTACACATGATGCAAATTAGCCAATGAGCTGTGTTAGTTTGGGTCACTGCTGCGAGCCACTTTTAGACACAGCAGGCAAACCCGTGGGAAACCAGGCGATGGGAAAGAAGAAGACAGTGAAAAAAAAAAAAGCAGAGAAAGTGTGGACTGCTGGAAGAGGAGCGGTGCAATAGTGGAAGAAAATTTGAAATGGTGTGCTCAAAGATGACCCTGCGCATTTTGAGTATGTTTGGCTCAATCTACTGCTGTAAAGTAGGATTCTCCACCATGAACATAATAAAAATAAATATGGATCCAGGCTCAAAATGAGCACGTTGATATATTCTTGAGAATGGCTTTGTCTCCATTCAAACCCAGGTTTAAAGCCTTGCAGGGCAGCATAAAGCCCACTTATCTCATTAACCATAAAAAAGAAAAAAAAAACAACAACATTCAGTTCAGGTGTTTTTTTTTAATATGTGATTCAGGAAATTGTCTATATACCAAACTGAACGATTGTTGTTCTCTACTTCAAAAAACACTTTGGATTTTAAAATGGAAAAATCCATCCAAATTAAAAAAATTTTTACTTTGTTTATGTTGTTTATTTTGTATTAAAAAATTCAATGTACAACATGGATGCATAAAAACGTCATTTTATTTCAGTGTTAAATTCTGTTTAAAGTAAAAGACTATAATTAAAAATGTCTCTGAACCTTTATTAGTTGATGATTTTCTTTATTCGGCCCCCGCTGATTTTTAATTGGTTACCCCTGTTTTAGAGGTTTCCTTGCTTTAGCACAGCTGTTTATGATGATAGCAATTGAGCAAAAGCCTGTTAATGAGCTTTTGATTAAAATCAGCTGTGCTTGAGCAAGGAAACCTCTAAAACCTGCAGGACAGCAGCCCTCGAGGATCGTCTGTGGGGATGCCTGTGTTACACACTTAATACATTATGGACGTTTATTTATAGATTTCTGGATGATAAGTGCCCCTAGGTCTTCATTAAATGACTTGTGTATCAATCAAATCAACTCTTTCAGCTTCTGGGCATTCTGGTTTATTTTGTTAAAAACATTAAAACTGTTTTCACCAAGGTTCCAATACATTTGCACTTCAATCTTTTTTGTTCTTTTTAAGAACATCCCACACATTTTAAAACTGGAAGCATATGAGGTTTAAGCAAAGAAATTAGATCTTAACAGGTTAAACATTTCAGATTTTCTCTGACTTTAAGCATGCATTTGATATTTTAAACTATATGTCTTCCAGCTGAGAAAGAAGACTCTGGAAGTGAGCGTTTGGGACTATGATAAGGGTTCTTCTAATGATTTCTTAGGGGAGGTAAATGTTACCCTTTTTTTAAAATGTCTTTTTTGTTAAAATGTTTTTAACTTAAATCTTGATTAGCTGCTAACACGGTTTGGTTGCTTCCAGGTCCTTATAGATCTGTCAAACACAGCCCAGTTGGACAACATTCCTCGATGGCTTCCACTTAAAGAGCAAAGCGAAGGAGACCACCACAGACGTTCCCACTCAGGCCAGGGCCGTCATGGTTCCTCTAAACCCTCCTCGCAGCATTCGTCCCCTAAAATCACTGGCTCTGCACATGATGGTCAGGATTCCCCCAAATCATCTGTCACCAAGAGCCGAAGCCATGGGATCTTCCCAGATCCAGCCAAGGGTAGGGATATGGTGAAATTCCTTACCTGTATGCCATTCCCAAACTACTCTCTGTACCCAGCTACTTCCCTGCTATTCCTGCCCCCTCCACTCTGTATTGGGTATTCCTTTTCCTTGTGATTCTTTTTCCTCTCTTCTCTCTCTTTTTGCTATGTCTCTATCTCCCACGGTGTCAAACTGTGTTCTTTTTATCTGTTTGTAGTACCAGTATCCTTTGCTGCCCATTATTCCCCCACTTGTAGCTTCAGCTTCACGCTTTTTCTGTTTTGTCATGGTCTGCTTTATTGGTTGCCATAACATCATCCAGCTTGGAGGCTTAACCTTAGCTTCCGTCTGTCTTTCCTCTGCTACACAGGGCAACATGGCTGTGGAAGGCTTTGAATGCCTCCCTACTTCAACAAAAAATAATATTAAAATAACATTAAATTTGTTGAGAATGCTCCATAGGCTCAGCACAGGTGCTATAGAGAAGGTCACAGCCTCTTCAGTTCAGTCAAGCGAAGAACAGTTTTTTTGGTAATTTGGTGAATCTGATTGTTTTAGACACACAGGTGCCCACAATCGAGAAATCCCACAGTAGTCCTGGCACATCGAAGCCTTCCTCATCCGGGGGCCAGAGCCAAAGCCCCAGCCATGGACACAGCCAGCACTCTCGCTCTCATGGCGCTTCACGCTCCAGCAAAAGTGCTGCAAAGCAGCACCATCAGGACAACAACACTGGAAGCAGCGGATCTGCTGCTGTAGCACAGGGCGAAGCCCAACAACAGTCACAGCAGCAGCCACCACAGCGCCTCCCACCAAGTAAACCAAGACTCAAATAGAGCCCACGCAGCATGGCCTCCTAACACTCATCTTTTTTCCCTTTTCATTTCTCCTTTTTTTTTTACCTTTTTTTTTCTTACTCTTAATCTCGATATGACTCCAGTGTGTAATCCTATATATATATATATGTACACACATTTGGTCAGAATAAGCACCCTACTGTACCTACTGTATACACTGGATTATCTCCTCTGATACGTTTCACCCCCTTTTGATAAACCCAAAGAGTTACAGAACCTTTTTATTATATTTCAAACTATTTTTGTTTTTTTTAACCAACTAATTGGATGGTTTTTCTTTTTTTATATTTTGTGATATTTTCCGAAAGCAATAAAACAAAATCACCCATACCCTATATTTACTCTACCCTTTATCCATGTTTCGCAAATGATAAAACCAACAATTTATTGAGGAAATGTCCATATTAATTATAATATAATATATATATATTCTGTGTTAAATGGGACTTTTAAAGCAGAAGCAAAAAAAAGAATCATGCACTTTCAGCATTTTTTTTTTTTTTTTTTGGAGTATTCAAAAAAAACTTTTCTTTAAAAATCCAGCGACCAGCATTTTTGAAGCTCCCTCACTGAGTTGGCTGTGCATGCTTTTACACCACCCCCTTTATGGACCCACAATGCAACCCAGCTGATGCTGAGCACCCCTCTCATTGAAGACACACGGGAAAGGGTGAATGTGCACTGCACACTGTGGCTGCATGTGATTCTCAATCAAGCTGATTACCATGATGAGGATGAACTGCGCTCTGAATCTCCATCTTGCTCATTCCTTCTCACATCTTGAACTGCGGTGCCATGACCTTTTGTTTCCTGCTGTTGACCCTGCAAAACACAAACACACCCAGGACAAAGAAGCCACTTCTCGCTAAGGCACCAGAGACACAGCGTAGTGGGTGTGCTCACCATTCAGAGAGCCCAGTCTGACTGGCTGCCTGCCCTGCCATCAACCATGACGGCCAATGCGAGCAGAGCAGACGGCAGACTCCTGAGCCTCAGGAAAGCCATGTCAGAGGAGAGGCCGCAGAGCATCGGAGGTGAGAGTTTGCCCCAAGAGTTTCCCCTCCTCTGTCGTGTGACTGAAGCAATGATGGAGCAAGGAGAGAAAGAGCGAGTGAGAGAAATAGAGGATGCAATACTACTAACGCACATCTGCAGAAAGAAAGAGGGGAGTCTAATAAGCTAAGAGTGAGCCAGAAAGACAGAAAACAAGGTTGCAATCACAGCCACACCACCAGATTCATGTAGTCAGCCACACTTCCATCATGGCCACTGACATACTCCATGCATATATAAATTGTGCTATGCTTTAATTGAAGCTAAAGGCATGGTTTTACTTCATTTTATTTTATTTTATTTTATTTTATTTTATTGATGTCATCAGTCAGTGGCTTAAAAGAAAGCCTGTGCTCTCACGGATTCACCACCGCTCCACATCCACACATCTGGCATCATTTACACTCACATTGCCTGCTCAACTTCTGAGAAAAGAAATACAAAGAGTTTAAAATAAAATAACAATAATTTTAATTATTTGAATAAAAAAGAACATGTTGTTTTTTATTGTTTAAACCATGCTGCACATAGAAGTATAATTGGTTACATTGAATAAGGATTTTCTCCTTTATTGATTTCCTTTACAGAAAAAGCTTTTGCTTTTTCAGACAAAGTTACTAGAGTAGACACGAAAACCAGTTTTCAAGTGATAAGTTTAGTTGCTAATGGGAAAAAGTTGTCTGAACCAAGTGGCCCAATGTAAGGCAAGGGAATTTTATTTTCATGGTAAAAGTTAGTACAAACACAATTCAGAGTGCTTCACATAAAATAAACAAACAAAAAAGCATATTAAAAGCAAGTACAAATAAAAAACATGATCAAAGCAGGTAGTAAAGCAAATAAACCCCTTGGACCACAAACTTAAGCTAATAAAACCTCCGTCAATAATATAACTTTAACAGTCAAAGGCAGTTCTAAATATTCTCTTTATGTTTGGTTACAAAAAAAAAGATACAGTACTTCCCCATTTACATATTTTCCTTCAGGATTTTTTGAGAAAGAAAACAATTGTGGTTCCACCAACTACAGCAAGTAGTACAGCTCATAAAACAGTCTGCAGAAAGTTTGGGGTATAAACCTGGATTTTTTTAGGGTGGGGAGTAAACATGATACGGCTCTTTTTGTCCTTTATATTCACACGTGTTTTGCTTTCAGAACTCGACCAAGGATTTAATTTTTGCCCAAGGTTGTGGCTTGTGTAATAGGAATCCAAGGAATGTAGGCATTGAGTTAATTGATGTTTTAACAAGTGGAGTAATTACCTTTTCTCATAGGGCCAAGTTGGTTTAGACAGCCGCTTTACCCTTTATCAATAAAAGTATTATTTGAAAGCTGATCCTAGACTTTCTCTTATTTTCCAAAAAAACAGAGTAAATCTTTAAAAGGAGATTTATTTTCTGCAGCACTTAATCCACTGTTATCACCCACAGCTAAGATGTTCACACATTCAAAATTTCATACAGATTATTAACAATGAAGTAGTTGTGCCTCTCTTGTAGTGTGCATCATCATGTATTCAGTATTTTTGTGTTTAAGCTATCACGTCTTGTCTTTGCTGAGAGAGGCTTTAGATAAACTTGTATCCACATGCTCTTGCTCAATGTTTGTGTGCAGTCCAGTCCTGTCTTGTGATTCTTTAACAAGCTTCTTTTTATCCACAGCATAACAAATTATTGACCATTTTAACAGATTTACAGTGCTGCAGAAATCAACCAATGCTTCTTCTTTGGACATAGCAAAGATTCAGTTTTTCTCTTCCTTCCTTTTTGTGGGGATGGCTGTGCTCATGTTTGTGCACAGCTCGGTCGAGCTACAGATCCAGCGATGCCCCAGTTACTGCGGCCTCATTAGACAGTGGCCTGAGCGGTAGTGCTTACAGCCTTTTGGACGAAGAAGGGGAGACAAATGAAGTGGACAGTGCTATCTTCCAGGTTCCTCGATTGTAAGTAGACTAACATCCAATAAAATACTATAAAAAATATTTGCTTCCATTCATCAAGGGTCTGTTACCTGTATGAAAGTACAGTTAGGTATTATATCCATTAGTAGAGTTACTATAAGACAACTATAGTATATAGCTATATAAAGTGTAGGACTAAATCAGAGGTAATTTATTAGAACTTGCTCTGTATAAAAGCTAATCCTGGATCATGTGTTTATAAAACCTCAGGGAGCCAAATTTGATTTCCTATTTAGGACAAAATAGAAAATCCCTTTATTGTCCCACAATGGAGAAATTCTGGTGTTTACAGCAGCAAAAAGTTTGTAGAAAAAAAGGTCACACAAATGTTGATCTTAGAAAAGTCCATAAGAAAAACATAATAATGAAGAGTTGAAATATAAACAAATGAAATACTACACTGTAAAGTGTTTTAACAATATAAAAACTGTGAACCTGAAGAATAAATAACCAAAATATTTTTTTTTACAGTAATTGATATTTGAAAATAGCAGCAACATCAGAGATGTGCAAAATGACAGCAGCATGTTTAACTGACTAAGATAGAAATTGTGCAAAATCAGCATGAATATAACAATGTATTGAGGTTTTTGGGAAAAGTGGTGCTTATAAAGTCTTCCAGCTGCTGGGAGGAAGGAACTGTGGTAACGCTCCCTGGTGCATTTAGGGTGCAGAAGTCTGTCACTGAAGGAGCTCTCCTGTTCAGCAACAGCTTCATGCATGGGGTGGGAAACATTATCCAACAGAGATGTTAATGTAGTTAGGATCCTTTTGTTTCCCACCTCCTGCATTGAGTCCAGAGGGCATCCAATTACAGAGCTGGCCTTCCTGATCAGCTTATCCAGCCGCTTTCTCTCAGCTACAGTACATATAAGCCACTGCTCCAACAAACAGCTCCATTGAAGATGGCTGATGCCACAACAGAGTCATATAAGTTCATTCTATACAGCGAACACAATGACATTTTTTTTATTCTTAATGATTAACATCTGTATGTTCATGTGATTACTAAAACTGTTTGTTTCAATTGGTTATTTGTGTCAAATTTTAAACAGGTTGGGATTTACCGGCTTGTTTGCATAAACACTGAATCTGATGATATAATCAGTGAAGCCATGAATTCTGAGAGGTTGGAACAAATGGGAAACTGTATGTCATTCATTTACTTCACAAACTTAATTAATTGTGACATTATTTATAAAAAAAAATAATAGAATATTATTATGCTGATCTTATCTGAAGATTTTCCAGTTATTTTAAGAATATTATTATGTTATCCAGAAATTGTCAGCACCCCAGAAGTGGATGCAAAGCTTTATGTAACCATTTCTAAAGGCTTTCCCCTAACTTTTAACAAATTAAGGGCTAAAGCACTGCAAGACAACTGAATAACCAATGCCAATAGATGAAGTAGCAAATAAAATATATTTGTCACATTTAAAGCATAATTTAGGACCCTTTGATCGAGCCTCCCCTCTATTAAAATTACCTCCCACATCAAAAGGATGGTTAGAAATACACAGTTATTTATAAAAATAATGTTTTATGGGCATGCTTTGGTGGTGCAGGACCCCTATACGGAGGCCTTAGTGCTCGACGCGGCCAACCCGGGTTCGAATCCGACCTGTGATACTTTACCTCATGTCTCTCCCCCTCTCTCATACCCCCTTTCCTATCAGCCTACTGTCAAAAAAAAGAGCCACTAGTGCTGTAAAAACTCTAAATAAATAAATAAATAATGCTATATGTAAGATAAAGTAATTTTTTCAGAAAAGATCAAGTCATTACCTTAAACTTTGTTTGAAATGAAATGTGAACAATAGCTTCCTTTCACTTCTTCTAGACTCTGTTTATGTTAGATTGGTTTATAAACCATCTTTTAGTACATGCAAAGCAATAAACCCTTTCCTTTTCTTTTCGTCTTTACATTTTAGTGGGAAGATCCCAAACGGCACTGACGTGGTCAAATCATCAACGGGACACAGTGATGTTGAAGGTAGAATACGTGTTGATTTCTTATTATGAAAATTTACCGCAAACAAATATACGCATTTCTATATTATTTATTTCTATATTACAGCTGGTTGAATATCTTTGTGTGACAAGAAATATAATCAGTCTTTTAACTAGTCGATGCTCTTTGGTTTTCACTGTGAGCTCACACCTATCCATCTACTCAGTTTTCAGTGCTTTGATTGAAATCCCATTATCTTTTTTTGTACCTACGTTTTTGTAAAGTAGTTGATTGCAGTAAAACCCACAGTGTTGTGTTGTTTGCCACAGTTAAAGATTAATTCTGCTTACTTTAAGTGGCACATAAATATTTCCGGTCAAACATTTATCCATCCATCCATCCATCCATCCATCTTCCTCCGCTTATCCGGGGTCGGGTCGCGGGGGCAGCAGCTTAAGAAGGGAGGCCCAGACTTCCCTCTCCCCAGCCACTTCTTCCAGCTCTTCAGGAGGAACCCCAAGGCGTTCCCAGGCCAGCCGAGAAACATAGTCTCTCCAGCGTGTCCTGGGTCTTCCCCGGGGCCTTCCCCCGGTGCGACGTGCCCGGAACACCTCACCAGGGAGGCGTCCAGGAGGCATCCTAAACAGATGCCCGAGCCACCTCAACTGGCTCCTCTCGACGTGGAGGAGCAGCGGCTCTACTCCGAGTCCCTCCCGGATGACCGAGCTTCTCACCCTATCTCTAAGGGAGAGCCCAGCCACCCTACGGAGGAAACCCATTTCGGCCGCTTGTATCCGCGATCTTGTTCTTTCGGTCATGACCCAGAGTTCATGACCATAGATGAGGGTAGGAACGTAGATCGACCGGTAAATCGAGTGCTTCGCTTTTTGACTCAGCTCTCTCTTCACCACGACGGACCGGTACAGCGCCCGCTTCACGGCAGACGCTGCACCAATCCGCCTGTCGATCTCCCGCTCCCTTCTTCCCTCATCCGTGAACAAGATCCCGAGATACTTAAACTCCTCCACTTGGGGCAGGACACCCCCCCTGACCCGGAGAAGGCACTCTACCCTTTCCCGACTCAAGACCATGGCCTCGGATTTGGAGGCACTGATCCCCATCCCGGCCGCTTCACACTCGGCTGCGAACCGATCCAGCGAGAGCTGCAGATTACGACCTGATGAAGCCAATAGGACCACATCATCTGCAAAAAGCAGAGATGCAATCCTAAGGCCACCAAAACGGATCCCCTCAACACCTTGGCTGCGCCTAGAAATTCTGTCCATGAGGGTAATGAACAGAATCGGTGACAAAGGGCAGCCCTGGCGGAGTCCAACTCTCACCGGAAACGAGCCCGACTTACTGCCGGCAATGCGGACCAGACTCTGACACCGGTCATACAGGGACCTGACAGCCCGTATCAAAGGGCCCGGCACCCCGTATTCCCGGAGAACCCCCCACAGGGCCCCCCGAGGGACACGGTTGAACGCCTTCTCCAAGTCCACAAAGCACATGTAGACTGGTTGGGCGAACTCCCATGCACCCTCCAGGACCCTGCTGAGGGTTTAGAACTGGTCCAGCGTTCCACGACCAGGACGGAAACCACACTGCTCTTCCTGAATCCGAGGTTCGACTATCCGACGGACCCTCCTCTCCAGCACCCCCGAATAGACCTTGCCGGGGAGGCTTAAGAGTGTGACTCCCCTGTAATTGGAGCACACCCTCCGGTCCCCCTTTTTGAATAGGGGGACCACCACCCCAGTCTGCCAATCCAGGGGGACTGCCCCCGATGTCCATGCAATGTTGAAGAGTCGCGTCAGCCAACACAACCCTACAACATCCAGGACCTTGAGGAACTCCGGGCGGATCTCATCCACCCCCGGGGCCCTGCCACCGAGGAGCTTTTTAACCACCTCGGCGACCTCGCCCACAGAGATTAGAGTCCCCAGGCCCAGCTTCCTCAATGGAAGACATGTTGGTGGGATTGAGGAGGTCTTCGAAGTATTCCGCCCACCGACCCACAACGTCCCGAGTTGAGGTCAGCAGCACACCATCCCCACTATAAACAGTGTTGGTGCTGCACCGCTTCCCCCTCCTGAGACGCCGGATGGCGGACCAGAATCGCTTCGGAGCCGTGCGGAAGTCTTTCTCCATGGCCTCTCCAAACTCCTCCCACACCCGAGTTTTTGCCTCAGCAACCATCCGAGCCGCATGCCGCTTCGCCCGCCGGTACCCATCAGCTGATTCCGGAGTCCCACAGGCCAAAAAGGCCCGATAGGCCTCCTTCTTCAACCTGACAGCATCCCTCACCGGAGGTGTCCACCAAAGGGTTCGAGGGTTGCCGCCACGACAGGCACCGACAACCTTGCGGCCGGAGCTCAGATAAGCCGCCTCGACAATGGAGGAACGGAACATGGTCCACTCGGACTCAATGTCCCCCACCTCCCCCGGGATGTGTTCGAAGTTCTGTCGGAGATGGGAGTTAAAGCTCCGCCTAACAGGGGACTCCGCCAGACGTTCCCAGCAGACCCTCACAACACGTTTGGGCCTGCCAGGTCTGACCGGCATCCTCCCCCACCACCGGAGCCAACTCACCACCAGGTAGTGGTCAGTGGAAAGCTCAGCACCTCTCTTCACCCGAGTGTGCAAGACATACGGCCGCAAGTCTGATGAAACGATGACAAAGTCGATCATCGAACTGCGGCCTAGGGTGTCCTGGTGCCATGTGCACATATGGACACCCTTATGCCTGAACATGGTGTTCGTTATGGACAATCCATGACGAGCACAGAAGTCCAACAACAGAACACCACTCGAGTTCAGATCAGGGCAGCCATTCCTCCCAACCACGCCCCTCCAGGTCTCACTGTCATTGCCCACGTGAGCGTTGAAGTCTCCCAGCAGAACAAGGGAATCCCCAGGAGGGGCACCCTCCAGTACCCCCTCTAAGGACTCCAAGAAGGGTGGGTAATCTGAACTGTTGTTTTGCCCGTAAGCACAGACAACAGTCAGAACCCGTCCCCCCACCCGTAGGCGGAGGGAGGCTACCCTCTCGTACCCCAACGTACAGGCACCGAGATGGGGGGCAACAAGTATGCCCACTCCTGCCCGGCGCCTCTCACCGTGGGCAACTCCAGAGTGGAAGTATGTCCAGCCCCTCTCAAGGAGACTGGTTCCAGAACCAGAACCATGCGTTGAGGTGAGACCGACTATTTCTAGCCGGAACCTCTCAGCCTCACACACTAGCTCCGGCTCTTTCCCCACCAGCGAGGTGACATTCCACGTCCCAAGAGCCAGCTTCTGCAGCCGAGGATCGGACCGCCAGGGTCCCCTCCCCCGGCCGCCACCCAACACACATTGCACCCGACCCCTATGGCCCCTCTCACGGGTGGTGGGCCCATGTAAGGGGGGACCCATGTTTCCTCTTCGGGCTGAGCCCGGCCGGGCCCCATGGGTAAAAGCCCGGCCACCAGGCGCTCGCCATCGTGCCCCCCCTCCAGGCCTGGCTCCAGAGTGGGGCCCCGGTGACCCGCGTCCGGGCGAGGGAACACTGGATCCAAATATTTTGCTCATCATAGGGGTCTTTTATATTGGATGTATTTAACCAGACTGAATTTCATTCATAAATGGCGACCAGTGTTAATGGTTTTCAAAATGTATTTTTTAGGGCGGAAATGTAAGATGAGCAACTATGTTCTTTCTAGATAGAAGTGTTGGCCTGTGAACTCTCTCTGAGGCTTCTTTTGCCCAGTCTCTGTGTCTTATTGTTAAATAATGATGCATGCATTATCAAATTATTATCCATGTGTCAACGTATAAACATTTTTCTTTTTTTTTTTTTGATGTAAGCAAAAAAAAGATGAATTTGTAATAGTCATTCAACATTTCCCCTCCCTCCTTGATGGGCCCTTAGCTGGTCCTTGGCTGGTCCCCAACAATTCCTTTTTAAGCATCAATCTTTGTTCTAAAATATTCTTTTTGTCATGATTTGTGGACATTAAGATCTAAAGAGAAGCCTCGTGGTCTGAGCCTGTAATTCAGTGAAAGGTTGGAGTCAGAGCAAAAAGCTATGTACACTCAGTAGAAGGAGGGGGTCAGTGGCTGGAAGTTGGAGGGGATTTTGCTGGGAGTTCCAGGAAAGTGGGTTGCCATTCGCCTGCCATTTGACTGGGAATTAGAATGGCTGCTACTGTATGCTTCCTGTTATAAATATTTGTTTCCACAAGATGGCAGCATAGGGATTCTAAGAATTGAGGCCTCTGCAATAGAACCTAGCCCCTAGGAACCTTTACTATATTGCTGATCTCATTACCTGCATACGTTTCTAGGAAAGACCCAAGTAATGGGAGAGATTAAGATCGCTCTGAAGAGGGAGATGAGAACAGAGGGGGAGCAGCTGGTTCTGGAGATTCTTCAGTGTCGCAACATCACCTACAAGTTTAAGTCTCCAGACCACCTACCAGGTATAAAAAAAAAACACCTTCTAATATAGTCATGCATGTATATATGCAAACATCTGATTGTCTTGGGTATCTGCTGGTCCCTTGACTTATTCCTAATTGTTCTGGTCTCTTGTTTCACCTCTTTTCAAAGTAGGGAACCCACTAATAACATTGTGGTATTTGATGACAATGTCCGTCTCTTCTTCTCAGACCTTTATGTGAAGCTCTATGTGGTGAACATTGCCACTCAAAAAAGGATCATCAAGAAGAAGACGAGAGTGTGCCGTCATGACCGTGAGCCATCGTTCAACGAAACGTTCCGTTTCTGTATGAACCCAACAGGACACTCATTACAGGTGGCTGATATCTTTACTTACATAGGATTTACAGATATCTTCAATCTGTTGATAACATTTTGTATGTTCATCATAGCTACATGTTTTCCATGAGTAATAAAAAAAAAAATTCATTAGTAGCAATATTTTTTTTCCCCACAGCATAGTAGTTATTATTCCTGAAAGTTAAGGGAAAATGATTCGCCATTAACCCTATTGTTTCAATTTTTTTTCTATACAACATACACTATGTTAAGTCTGTCACTTTTGTGGAAGTTTTTTTGTGGAAAAACTAAAAAATAGGCAGGAATTTGCTGCTCATATTAAAAGCAAAGCTTAGCAAAAAACAACAACAACAAAAATACTTCTAGAAAGCTTGTGAACTGCATTCCAAAAAGGTTAAAAAAAAAATAATAAAATAAAAAGCAATCCATTGGACTTTGTTTCCAGGTTTGAAGACGTTTTGTTTCCCATCCAGAAAGCTTTTTCAATTCAAAGTGTCAGAATTAGCATTGAGTTCAAGGCTTTATAGAGTGGACCAAAACAAAAGCCTTGTTTTAGCTTAGAAAACATGCAAATTGAACTGGATGAACGGGTCATTTCCTTAGGAATGGGGGACGTTTGGGTTCTTTGTTAGCCTGCAATACCCAATACTTGTTATTGTTCACTCTATAAAGCCTCAAACTCAACGCTAATTCTGACATTTCGAATTGAAAAAGCTTCCTGGATGGGAACCGAAACGTCTTCAGACTTGAAAACAAATTCCAGTGGATTGTTTTTTTTACTTTTTTGAAATGACTACGACCTGCATAACTGAGAATCTTCACCAACTTGTGTACTACAGACTTTTCCAGAAAGTAAAAGCTATTTCATCTTTGGTTCTTTCACCAGCTTTTCCTTGTGTCAAATGGTGGAAAGTTCATGAAGAAAACGCTGATCGGAGAGGCCTATGTGTGGTTGGACAAAATCGACTTACGCAAACGAGTCGTGAGTTGGCACAAGCTGCTGGCTAGCACGGCTCAGATCCACTCATAGGGGGACAAGAAAAGAGAAATATGATGGGTTTGTGACTTCAGTGGGAACTTAGCTCTGCATCTGAGAAACAGGTCCTGTTTGGGGGAAGGGTGACGCAAGCTCAAGAGGAGGCAAAAGCTCGTCATCTTATCTGTTTTTTTGGACTTAAGGGACTTTTTGTTCAGATGCTGTCAGCATAAAGACCTTGGATTCATGTTTACATGAAAATAAACATGTTTACAGCAAGAAGGGTCCATTATAATGTATCCAGGAAGAGACGCAAACACACAGGTGTTGAGGTCAGCAGCTCAACCAGGTATTACATGCCTTCATTCACAAACACACTCATGCACATGGTTACTTTGCACAGGATCATTTCCACAGAGGAAGACCCATAATTCTAATGTAGAGATACAGGGAACAGACACATTTCTAGATGTTTGTTTATTTAAATGCTTTATCCAATGATGATTCTATTTCAGCACTTATTGCTTAATTCAGAATTTTATTGAATTTAAAACATTATAGAAATGACAGAGAAAGATCTGCCACAGAAACATATAATTTATTTTTCTATTATATTAGCATAGAAGTCTATTATTTATCTCAGTTATTTATCAGATATTTTAAAAATCCTTGTTTGGAAGGAAGCATATTTTCCAACACACTACCTATCTACAGTAGCAGACCAGATCAATGAAGAAAAAAGCTTGTTATAAATTTTATAAATTAATGAACTACTGAACTTTGCCTCCTTTTTAAGATAATATTTCACTGAAATTGTTTAAGAATTAACTAAGACTTATACAAAATTGAATACCACACAATATATTGCGCACATGAGTCTATTCAGCATGCAGCACTCCATGTTTCACCACTAAACATCACCTCTGAGACCCACTTTGTAAATAGAAAGTCTTATTTGGAGATAAAAATAAATAAATAGATACTTTATCACAGACAATCAAGTCTTGACTATTGTGACATTAAGGTTTTATTTATCCATGATGCCCCTGTAGAATGTACGACATCGTCCACACTGAGATTTCCTGTATTTGCTTTGTAAGTTCCAGACGTGTTATGAATCTTAAAGTGCTGGGAAATGCATTAGTTGTCCACACATTTCTTCTGTTTTTGCTTTTTTGTCAGACTTAAATGTTTCATGACTTCAAACTATTTTGAAATCAAACTTCATAAAATCCAACCTTTATAAAAGAAGCTAAATACAGTTGAGGATTTAAAACAAGTTAGCAAAAACAATCGTTCTCTCCATTGGAACATAAATGCTTCTTGAACCTGTTTGATTTAAGAGGCATTTCCTTGTCAGTCAGCGCTAAATATTTTTCTTTGAAGTTGACATGTTTTTGCCCACTGGTTTTTGCAGAACTATTTTGATTACTCCACAATGGATATTTAAGAAAATTTAGCTAAAGGAAGGGCATGTGACACCAAAGCCACACATTGCATACTATAGGGGGCCTGAAACTTCTTTTCATGTCATGTTAAGGTGAAGCTAATGCTATATCTTCTAGTTTCATCTTAAACTTCGAAGGTATAGTGGAGGATTTTCACGATGTTTTGAAAAGACCCACCCTTAATGGGTATATCACCAGAATGATTGACAAATAGGAGGACCCCTTGTTTTGATGATCCACCCGGAAAAAGAACATCCTCCATTATACCTTTAAGGTAATAAAATGTTGGCCGGACAATCTCCTTCAGGGTTTTCTAGTAAAGGGCAGAATAACAATCACAGCAGGTCATTAACTAAAGAGAAAAAATTATCCACACTATGAAACTACCACCATCATGTCTGAATATCAGTGTGATGACAACTACAGATGGTGTTATATATATTTTTCTTGTCAGTCATATGAGATTTTTCCAGAAATATTTGGAATCATTTGTTCTTTCAATGATTCTAGTGTCTGAACTATGAACGCCATTTTTGCCAATTGTTAATGGGTCAATCATGAACACATGACTAATGCCTCAGATGACGTTTTAGGTTTTCTCCTGGGTATCGATCGCCTCTTTACGTCATGCTGTCAGACATGTCCTACACATATTCTACACATATGACAGTGGTCAGTAATTCAAATCAATATTGGAAAATTATACTTTTCATTTTATCGGTTTACTGTCTTATGATGTTTGATGATCTGAAGCATCTATTTGCAAAGAAAAGCAAAAACAGAAGAGTTCTGTAGGAGAGCAAATACTATATTCCTGCATCACATCAGTCTTCTACATTGGGCTTGCTTCAATTTTATGGCCAGCAGTCTTAAGAACATACTTTTGTGGTATTTTGCACTTTTTTTCTGCTCAGAATGTAGAAATGGATAGATTTTAACTGTGAAAATGCTGAGGCAGATTTGAGGTACAACAATACAAGTAAAAGCACTATTAACATCCTAAGTTTACTGCTGTAATATTGCTGCTTTGATGTGCTGTCATTTTTAGAGTTAAAATCAACATTGTTATCTTTAAAGTCTTCTATATCATTACACTTTAAGATAGTTTTGGTTTGTGGTTGTCAAGAGGTAGTTTTACAGGTTTATTCAATACCATCAGCTGAAACAAATAGTAAAACTAACATATTAGTGATTTCTATGCAACATCTACCGTAAAGAGTGAAGGAACTGCATATAACCTTGCCAGTAAGTCACTATGTCCCAATTTGCACTGCTGCATCCTCCACAAATGGTTTCTACTTTAGTTTTATTTTATTTTTACCTTGTGATTTTTGTAATGCTGTACAGATGTGTATTTATTTATTGCCTGTGATACAGTGTCATATTGAGTTCTACTGCATTGGTTTACAGTACATATGAAATGTACATAATAATGTTTTTTTACACAACGTAGAGGTTGTTTACAATATCAGGATGACCTGAAACTCAGAGATATTACGTTATGTGGAGAAATCAACGTCAAAAAAGAAAGAATACATCCAGTGTCTGCACCTACCCTTTGATTATCTTGATTTACAGGATGCATATCATAAATTACCAAAAGACTGTAAAAGATTGTAATTAATAGACATTACACTGGAAGTGGCAGTAGTTTTAAGGTCTCTCTGTAAGTTTGGTTTTGTTTTTCATAATTTTTTCTTAATTTGATCTTCATGTGCTTGTGCGTAGCATGTCATTTGGCCTGATGCAAAAAGTATTTCTGCTTTTTAGTGTTTTCACTCAAAAACCGACTGTAACACAATTCCACATTTCACTAACAGATTTAAACACAGAGGCTATCTCCCTGTTTTTAGCAGTGTAAATATATAGTTTAATTTTTATAGATATATACCTACAAATATATCCATAATTGGGATTGAGGAGTAAAAGAAGTTTTAGCAGACATAACAAGGAGAAATTTATTTTTTTTTTCAATCAGTGTGCAGTGGATAGACTGTATAAAGGATGTTTTGTCTGGTTATAGAGGCCCGGATTAACCAAGCCCTTCACACAGGACCCTAAAAGGTTACCAGTCTTAACACAGAAGTCTTATTGTGACAACTCGAGTTAGTTGCAGAAGAATATAAATATGCTCACTGGATGTTGCATGTTCTGTTGGTGGTTCCTAATATTTTTGTGTCCAGATATTATTACCAAACTGAGAAAGGAGTTATAGAGTGATATATGTGATAGTGGAGGAGGAAGTAATGGAGAAGTACAAATTATTGACAATGTATGCTGACTGTACAAAGATTATGCTTGTAAAACTTGTCTGTTTTTTTCACTTGTAAGTAAACAGAAAAAAATAAAATGTCATGGTTTTGTGATTGTATACAGGAGGTAATGATAAATTATGCAAAATGTGCTGTAAAAATGGCTATTGCCCCATGTCTAAATATTAAATATCAGTACAAAATAAAGCTAAGCTCTTCTGTGCATTTACTTTAAAAGGAAAATAATAAAAAAAGATCACACACATGACATGTTTGGTTTTTAAAGAGAAGAACAGCAATAAACCAGGCCAAGGAATATTACTTTCAATGTCCTCCACATCTAAAGTATTTTCTAATTGACTAATAATAATCTTTAACCTTTTAAAGTTCACTTGGTGAAATATTTTATAAAAACAAAAAAAAAAAACATTTAAAGCCAAAAGTGCTTTTGTTATTCAATTTTTAACTACTTTATAACGTTTTTATCTTTTTAATTTTTTTGCTTAGCCTTTCACTTTTTTTTTTCCTAACTTTTTTCAATTTAATTTACTGTAGGTAATAAATCATTCAAGGGGTCATCTGATTGGTCCATAGCACATTAAAGTATGTAGCCATGTAGCAGTATCTTTGCTGAATGGCTGGGTATAGATCTTGTGGTTCTAGACCTCACTGAGGGACAGGGGGACTCCACTTATTATGTTAGTTATCAAAAACAGTTACTTGCTCTATTAAGGGTTAAATTTTCTTTTTTTTTTTGTCCCAAAACAGATCAAGCAACAGCTTCATGTTTCCTCTCACTTTAACGGTGAGTGAAACAAACCAAACTCTGAATATTAGCTTTAAACTGGAAAAAAAAAACTTTAAAAACTTTCTATTCATGTATGTATATATATATATATATATATATATATATATATATATATATATATATATATATATATATATATATATATATATATATATATATATATATATATATATATATATATGAATAGAATTTTTTACATTTATTTACTTGCACTAAACAGACATTTATTATTTTTTTTTTTTATTCTAGGCGATTTTTTTGTGCAATTACTACATATTGCCACAGGGTGGCGCCATGTTGTTATTTTTCCTTCTCGTTTAGCTTGCAGACGTCCTCAAGCGCAGGTGTTTGGCTGAGTCTGCTTGATTAGTCCTCTGCTCAGGAATGTGTGGGAGTCAACAGATGGGGTTTGTTACCAGCTCCTGCTGCAGCATCATTTATTCAAGCCTCAGATGTTTCAGCATTAGGTATGCGAATATAACTCTGTACTGTACCTAATGAAATATTGTTGCAAAGTATGATTGAAAACTTTTATTTATTTATTTTTTCTTATAGAACGAGATATACAGTAAGCTTTGAGAATTATTCAGTTATTTACTGGTTACTAATATGTGGATTTTTTTTTATGTCGGGATTTACAGAATAAATGTAGGGAAAACTGTTTAGTTTTCAAATAAATAATATATATATTTTATCTGCTTTCACGAGAATTCATCACAAGGCACTGTACTGAGTTTTTCTACCTGTGGTGTTTCTGCAGAGCCCATAATGAGCTCTTCATTTAATTCAGGTGTGCGTCTGCAAGTTACTGTAACATATTTGCTCTCGAGAACTGGAGTTAAGGAGCCCTTGCTTAGACAGTTTCTATCAATATTTATCTGTCACTATTTTCTATTTATTCTAAGAATAGAAACAAAAATATAGGAGCGTGCATTTCATTTAGAATGTTAAAGTTTAGTCATGCATTCTGGTGAAACTGGAAGAGAATGGTGGAGCTCTTTAGTAATAAAATCTGAATTTAGGAGTCCAAGCATGGGCGGTTCTAAACAGGGGCCAGTAGCCCTTTAAGACAGTACTGGTGCCTCTACTGAAGATTTAGTGCTAAATGCATTTTAGATGTTCTGGCATGAAATCGGAGCTAATTGGTCCCTTGGATCTATTTTTTTTATTTTTTAATAATTTTTTTTGCTTTTACAGTTATTTTCAGTTTGTTTTTGTATTTGTTTTTTTTTATGAAGCTTTTGAACTTTTATCTCTTTGTCGCCATATTGAAACAGGATCACATTTCTAATTTGCCATATCTGGGGTTTCAAGATTTGAAAATGACCCAGCCTTAGGCCACCATAATAAATTTGGTCTGGAACCGCTGTTGACTCCAAGTACAATTCTCCATGCAACATGAATGTGTTAATGATAATTAGGGCTGGGTAAAAAATCAGTTTAATCGATCGATTCCTTTACATTTTTGCGAAATCGATGTGAAGGAAATTAGATCGATTAGTTTTACAGTGACGCGCGTGATGTTTACATTCAAATGAGCAGGCGTGTGCAAATGCTGACTCAAGTAACACACCGCAAGTAACACAAATGGGGCTGACCAGCAAACACCCTGTAGTTGTTGCAGTAAATAACTGCAATCATGGTTTGTACAGTAGAGATAGAACAGCTCATGCATGTCTGCTGTGTACCCGCTGTGTCACGTCTGCTTACTCTTGTGAGGCTTCACTTTTTCACTTTTCACAAACAAGTT